TTGATGTCATGACAATGACACCCACGACTGAGTTCAACCCTTGATACGTGGTGTAGTCGGCATGACGAACACGAGGCCGAAGATGATGGCCAGGGTAAGCGCGGGCCAACACCGAGTAAAGTTGTACGATGGTGTTAGCCAGTACATTAATCGTAATCGCTGCATGATCAATCAGAGTTGCATCCAGGTAGAAGCAGCTCGCTTGTGCTGGAACACTAGCTTCGGTAGACTATCGGGTGCAGGTGTCGTTACACCAGGTTCAGCTAGACAAGTCAGCAACACTTGGTGCTCCAGAGATAGATTTGGGCATTGGTAATCTTCCAGTTGAAGATGTTCAACCCGTCCCTGAGGCTCACCACTAAATCCAGTCAATGGAAGCTCTTTCATCTCCGCACCTCTGACCTTCTATCTATAGCATAATACGGATAAATTTTAATTCTTACGCTAATTAGCTGTTCGTTAAAACGTTTGACGGTGTGTGCAGTACGGAATAACAAATTCAAAGTATGGAACAGCCTCGCCGGCTATATTAATCTACATTGTCGTATGACGACAGCCTGCTCACCACCTATTGCGCGCGTCTAGCAGCGACTGGTGGAAACGTTTGATATGTCTTTGATCAACCAATCTTCGAGCAGCACGTGAATACTATCCGAAGGGATTGTATTCCTTCAATATGACCTATTTCGGGTAATATTGACAAAAGATTGCACGCTGGACAATAATTCTATTGACATCGTTCGGTGTCAATATTATGTCACGGACTACCCCATTACACACAAGGCTCCATGTCTTATGGTGTTGTCGTCACCAATAGCCTAGTGGGGTTGCCGTACAATGGCATCCGCGTAATCGCAAGGTTGCTCAAGTGACTATAGGCTGCTGAACCCAAATGTAGGTAGGAATCATATTTCGCGCGCCATTATGCTGCTGCCTTCATTATGCGTTGACAAAGAGGCGTACATTTGGAATATGGATGCACAGCTCGATGTCTTCTGACCGACTTGCCTGGGTGTCGAGCGGCATCTTAGAGCATAAGGCCTTGACATAGATTTAGATGGATGGATCTGTAGATGATGATGAGATACGGTTGCATCTGGTGATGAAACATATCGGTGGTACAGGCAAAGAAATGCGCTTCAGAGTAGATGGTACTGACTCTGCAGTGGGTGCAGTCGATAACTACAGTTTGGTCGCGTTTGTAGTATCGAGCATATGCGATCTAGTCGACATGGCATATGTTCGAACATCCTACACGAAGCCTATTGTCCTACATCAAATTTTCTACGAATGACCCTATTCTCACATATAGAAAAGAACCCCAACATCTGTCTTGATCACCAGGCGACCATCGTGTTAAACCGTGACAAACTAGCGATGTGGTGGTAAGCGTGGCTTTTGATATGATCTGCAACCTTTTTACCTGTTTGAACACCACATTTCAGTGGCTTCGCGGCAAAGCCAATTACGTTGTACTGTTCAGGTGACCTAGGAATGGAGCAAAAAAATAGCAGCAAGTATGTCCAAATATATCACGTAACACACTTCTGTCAGTTCAAAGCTTTAAGGTGAAACTGAGTGGAGTAAATCTCACTATCAGCACCATCCTAGGTCAAAAGTCTCATTATCAGCACCAGTCCCAAAATCAGCACCGGCCAATAATCGATTTAGTGTAGATCACCTTAAATTTCTTTAAAAGTGAACTGTGACTATCGCATTTATAGAGAAGTGATAGAAAGTTGAAGAATGCGCTTTGTGATTCGACGCGACGTGCGATGCGTGAGTGAGACATGCGTGACGACAGGACCATGTGTGGTATGTTGCATAATTTATGTGCATGTTGTGGTGAGGAACTGACGCAGAGTCTACCTGTGTGCTGTATGACTTGTGATGTCGGGGATTACGTAACATGAGTAGGTGAGGCTTTCGCCCAATGTGCGATCCCGCGAAAGTATTAAGGCCATGGAGACGCTGGATCCAGAGACTGTCTCATGCTGAAACTGTTCATTACGTTGTTTAGCGGCCGAAGTAAAACTTAGAATGCGTGTGCATCCTGCAAGGCACTCGATTATGCGCGCATTGCCTTTGCGGTGCAGTACACGAAAAGGACCGATGTATTTGGGTAGTATTTATATAGGTCCCATACGACCGGATGGTGCGCTTGATACATTCAAGCTAGAACAACGCACTCGACTGGCTCGTCAAATAAGGCAGGACTAGATTTATGATGACGTATGGACAACAGTTGTCCAAAAAAGTAAGATTTTGTGACTAGGGTAGATCACAAACTAATCGACGTTATTCATTGCTCGGTACTTAATAAAAGATGCATGCAAGGACGCAGATGCGCGTCGATTCGATTTCGAAAAATTAGTCGTTGGTGTGCTTTTTGCGCGGGATTTGGTCGAGGCATTAACGTCCAATTAGTCACTTAAGGTAATTTTATTTACAACGAGGGCGTGTGAATTTCTTCTAAAGCTAGGCTTACACAGTGTGTGTGTGTTTTTATTTGTTGTCATAGTAGGATTTCTACCAGGGTAGCGCGAGTAGTGAGTACGCAATGCGGTTTTCAGACCAAGTAGCGGGATGTACAAAAGTGATGTAGACAATTTTGTGCGTGGGCTTTTGTGGATTTTGTGAGTTTTGGAAAGGAACGAACCACTAAACAGCACTTCACTCTTTAACAGAAAAATGGAATGTATACCTAGATTGCTGAGCATGTTATGATGATACTGGATAAAAGCAATTTGAGCAGAGCAGCTGCAAGTGACAGTGTTAACCGGTGGCACGCTGGACATTCAATGCCGCATATTTTATGGTGTGTATTGTTTGTTATGTAGGCCCTTGTACGAACTAAAAAGGGACAGCGGACTCAAGGTCATGGTCTAATGCTTCCTCCTATATTGCTGGACAATGTAGTGCGCTTACAGCATAGAACGACTAATCGCTGCGATGTATTGTGCTTAAAGCTGATTAGTCACGCAAATTATTCGAGTTCGACGAAATTAGACATCAGTTACCAACCAATAGTGCTAACAACAAGGACAAGGATAACATAATGTCAGCTTCAGCCACAATGTCGCACTTAGCTTGAAAGATACACGTGCATCTCATCTATTGATTCGCTTATTGTAATCAAAATGTTTCACTCTTACTCTTTAGGGTTGCAAATAACCCTGCTTTATCGTGTTAACATAGATGTGAAGCTATTTATTTTGCCGAGAAAAGGCTTGGCGATTGCCAGGCGCACGTTGGAGTGATCATCATTTGGTGTGAAAATGTAGTGCTCTGTAGCTGCAACAATCCGCTTTCTCTTCGTCAAACGAATCTCCCATGGGCATCGATCCCGTGGGTTAACATACGTCTTGCTATTGCCACCACTATTTTTAACCCTGCACTGCCAGTTCCGATTGTAACAGTCGTCTTTCAAAAACCTGGTTGCAGCAAACCGGAATAGAAAATTTGTCCATGAGCCGATTCAGTGGCTCCATAACATGCATCTGAGTCAATCGTCACCCTTTCGCGTGACATCTTGCTACACCTTGCTGATATCAAGCACTTAAACTCGTGGCGCTTGTAGCATTATATTGTTCTTATGTTTTGGAGCACCAAGTATTGTGATCTACACTAAATTGGTTGCTGGCTGGTGCTGATTTTGGGGCTGGTGCAGATAATGAGACTTTTGACCTGGGATGGTGCTGATAGTGAGATTTACTTAACTGAGTGGGGGTAGCCGCTCGGACAAAGATTATGCTGCCGTAAGGTTCGAAGATCAATGCTTGTACTTCCCTTGCCTTGTTATCGATTAACTAATGGCATAGATGTCGATTGGTAGCTGTGCAGAGGCAACTCAATAGACGTTCTGCGTGCCTACGCAAACCTGCACCGTTGACGTGGAGCTTATAGCTACAGAATCAGCTTCCTAGAATCTGTACGACTAGCTCTTCGATGTAATACCGCCTGTAGTAAGCTTGCAAAAGTGCATGAACAGCATCTTTGTTGCGCCGTCGTTGTCGTGTGCTGATCCACTAGCGAAGGTCTGATATAGAAATCGGACGATTGTAATAGCAAACGGCACTGCTAGCATTCCATCTATCCCTTCTGTGCCGCACAACCTATAGAGTACAGGCATGCTGTATTACTTGTAAGCACAAAGACGGCCTACCGATTCTTGATGCCAGCCTCAAAGCAACGTTATGATGAACACATCAATTGCGTCTTGCAGTATTGAACGCTCCATCTTGTCTTTGTCATTCGACTGGTACTGTCTGCGATTCTCGTCGTCATTGCGTCGAGGCGATCTCGACCATGTTTACATTCCACTAACCGACTTGGATTTTTTAGCAAGGATTGAGCGAGTCTCTGGTACTCGATCGACCGATACAGCATTTGTACACTCGTCAACCGCTGCTTGCAGTTGTGTTTTCATCTGTATCCATTCGTAATGTGTCCTGTTTCTGTTGCTTTACAGCAAGCATTGCAGAGCATTCTGGGGCGTTTTCATAGCTCGCTGACCCATCATCATCCACATAAACTTCCTTCGGCTAGAATTGTCATTGGCAGGTGTACATGACTGAGACAACGTTGTAGATAATGACGTATCGATGTAATCTACACTGCAACGGGAACATCGTGTTCACATAATAACCCGATTTGTGGTCACCTGAATGCCATCCTGTAGGCGCCTAGTCAAGGCTTTGACTACACTCTCCATACCTGTGCACCAAAAAGTCAACGCTTGGTCCCACAGCCTATTGATTGATACCATTTCGTCTGGAATCTGTATCCCTTGCACAATAGAAGTACAGCTTCAAGGTCGGGGCTATTACCAAAGCTGCTTCTTCCAGGCATTTAGCAGAGTAAGGACTTCTAGAGACAGCAACTCCATCACGGCCAAGCAATCGAAACCAATGAGCACTGGGCGAGCTCATGGTCGTGAGTTCATCATGCATTACAATTCCTCTTCTTTGTCTATGTGTTGCTGCACCAACAACGTAGCTTTACGTGAGTTTCTTGGCGACGTCCAGGTCAAGATGAACGAGACGCACACTGCCAAAAAGTCTCTCGGGTAATTCATCAGGGCTCTGGCCTTCCAGCACAAAACCCATGTCAATCACTAGTTTCTTCGTGTACCCTGACACGAGGCCGACTACACGATTGGCGACTGCCGACGAGGCAATGTCGACATCCAGCTCAAAATACTGCTTGCCGCGGAATGTAGGCTGACGCAGCTTCTTGCCGATAAGTGCAGGAGTAGAGCCCACAGCCTGACGCACGATAAAGCTCCCCTCAACGATGCAGGGAATAAGCTTGAACCGTTCATTGCGAAACTCATCCGAGTTCTCTAGAAAGTCGGCCATCAACTCAGACGACGGAGAGCCATCCACCAACACGGACGGATGAGGCGCCTGATAGTATAATACCAAGTTGATGCGAGGAGTGCCTGGCACCACAAAGTTGACCACAAACGTGAAAGGCATCTCTGTTCCTTGCTCCTCATGGCGCCGCAATTCGCGCTGGACAGAATTATCTGGAAGTGAGGCAATGTGCTCGACAGATTCTGAGGACTGGAACAGGTCGACACCCACAAGGCGAAAGTATGGAGACTGCGACGGGATCTTTCGCTGGTCGACCAAGTAGTCGGGGCCTCGCACCATCATAGCTGCGCCATCCGGTTCAGCCCACATCGATCTCGGTACGTTACTCGGGAACTCCTCCAATTGAGACACCGGTGCATCCGGGTCGTTAACAATATCTCTTCCTGCTTGTACTGCTGCTGCGTTCGCTTGCTGCTCCTCTGTTGACGCCGTGAAGGTTACCGAGAGCTCTTCGGGCACATTTGGACACACGTACTTGCGTGCTTCCATCACATCGCGCAACCCAGTCAACGACAACACTTGAGGTCGCACGTACAAGTGCATGAGACCTAAGCGTTGCAACAGCTTGCCTTCCCATCCCCGTGGGTCCAAGTGCACCACGTTAGTGACCATCGACGTCAATTCATCCCCCAGTGCGACACCCAAAGCACGCGGAGAGATGATGAAGCCACCGCCCCTACAAGTCGCGCGCACCAGTCCATGCATAGGCGGACACTCGGGGTGCAGCGCGCTTTGCATACAAATGACGTACGATCCGTCTTCCGCTCGTCGCCAGTACCTCAACAAGCACAGATCTCTTGGAGTCATCCATCTACGAAAAAATCACACACACACACACATGGAGAGAACAATGATTAGCAAGCAGCACAGCCTCAAGCTGCTTTACAATCGCAAGCTCTCGGTCGCACTCACATTGGCCACATCCACACAGGTCGGTAGACAATATGAATAATATCGGAATGGTCATCAATCGTATGCACGACTTCTGCCGTCTCCACCGAAGCGTCCCAGACGGGATAATTCTTGATCCCCATCAAATAGAGGAAAATCTCGGACGGCGAGCCGTCGACTACTTGCAGAGCTTTAAAACACGGCACGACCTTCTTCGCTCTTACATTTGTAAGGGTCCACCACGCTGCGACTACGACAAAAGCCGTGAGTAGCACCGAGACGACAAAACCTGCTCCTCCAATGTGTCCCGCGACAAATGTCACGAATCCAGCGGACGTCGTGGACAGCAGCACGTTGTTCAGTGGCTCCGCCGTCGTGAGTTCCCTCGACTGTTCGTGCCAGATCTGCATCCCCCCAAACAACTCGACGACCTTCCACGAAGCTGCAAACATGGCCCACGACCGCTCCAGTTCACTCAGGAGCTTCACTGTACGAGGGACGTCACCCGACGTTCGATCAGGGAGAGCGGGGCGACAAGAGAGGTGGGACGTCGTCCCGTTCGTGTTGCAGTTGCTGGTTCCCAATGACGATAAGAGTGCAGCGTGGACACTTGGATCGGGAGGGGAGCTAGGGGCTGTACCCGACTTGTTGGTGGAGGTGCTTGTCATTGTGGCAGACATGGACGACGAGCGCATCGTCACGTCCGGCACGTCCGACGTGGCAGGAAAGCCGTCGAAAGACACGCTCGACTTGGATGCACATGTGCGGGGAGAGGACGATGACACCGAGTGGCTCGGCATTGACCAAGCAGCGATTGTTGAGGGACCTGTGGCGCCTCGATGCAGCGTGGAGCCAACGATCGGTTTAGTGCTCGCCCCCTCTCTGCCGATTTGCGGATTCGGAACTTGTCGAGGCGACAGCAGGTGGGGAAAAGAGGGCGCTCGGAGTTCAAGGAGCAGATGGGCTCGAGTCAAGCGTGACAGGGGAGAACCGACTGTTTGAGGAATGACGACGACTCGCTGTTTTGGGACGATTCCGGTGCAGCTTGACGTTATTGTGGTTTGCCATAAGAAGAAGAAGAAGCAAAGGCGGATTGTCCACCACTTGTTTCTGGTTTGGCCACGAGCTGATGTCTATTATCCTTGCATTGTTTATTCCTACCCGCTTGTGCTTTGGGGCGAGTTGCGGTCCGTGGTTCTTGGCGGTCCGAGTTAGAAGATAGCACTGCGTAATGTGACGACAGGTGAGCAAAGAGACGCTCGTGAAGAAACAGCGATCAGCAGCTTGGTCGGCTTGATATGCAGTGCTTTCAGTATGGTAAAGGCCACGATGTTTCAACTTGTTGACAGTTGTGCCTCACCCACGCGTTCAGCCGCAGCCTTGTCCGTGCAACTATCCTTTGCATCGTGTCCTGCGTGCCATAAGAACCACCGTAGGCGTTCATTGCAACGTCAGCATTGCATGGCGATGCAGACTGCAACTGAGTAATCGTGTATAATGTAGAAAAACACTACGTTGACGTACGGTGTCTTTGGTGCAGTGAAAGTAATTTCGCTTTCGTAGTGAGTAGGAAGGAACGTGACGACATGAACCAGTGCATCAGAGCGCATGGAATGACCAGAAAGAAACCTGCTCACAAAAATGATGTGCATACTTGTAAAAGATGTCCGACCAAGGCTCATCTAGCTCACCGCGCTTTCCTACTTTATTGACTGTTCGCCGTCCATGCGCACGCATCGCTTTCGCCATTTGTCAGCTTGTAATATGAAAGCTTCTCCATTTTGCAGCTTTCTATGACCGACATTTACAATGTGTTGGCGTTGGTTCAAGCCATCCCCAGCAGCTAGCAACACACATCATCACTTTTAGAAAGTAAGTACAAATGCAGTCGTGTAGAAGCCTTGAACGGGCAGACTACATCTCGTTTTGCAAAAGGCGTGCTTCGACAAGTCAATGCCAGAATGCGCTACAACCGCTCGTGGGCGCGTGTTTCGCAGGTTACAGCGGTCGTACAAATGCCTCAAAGTCATCGTCCAGCAAACCTAATTCAGGAATGCTCTTCTGGACAGACTGTCCAAAATATCCACATACGTCTATCATCTTCACTCAAAGCCCTCCTTTTTTCAATCTATTATCCATCACCTGTCGACTTACAGTCCACGCGCGTAATCTATTCGTCATTTATTACAAAAAGTCCGACCCTCTTATAGCATGGCGTCCCTCGTGACGCGCAACGGACTCGACGTGTCGGCGCTCGACGAGCGCGAGTACGAGACTTTTGCACTTCCGAATGCGCTTCAAGTGCTGGTGATCTCCGACCCACGGACGGAGAAATCGGCTGCAGCCATGGACGTCCACGTCGGACATCAGAGCGATCCGGATAATCTGCCTGGCCTTGCGCATTTTGTCGAGCATATGCTGTTTCTGGGGACTATAAAGTTTCCCAATGAAAACAGCTACAAACAATTTCTAAGTGCCCACAGCGGACGTAGTAATGCGTCCACGTCTCAGACGCACACGAATTTCTATTTCGATGTCCTGAGCGAGCACTTGCACGAAGGACTGGAGCGATTCGCTCAGTTTTTCATCGCCCCGCTGTTCACAAACACAGCAACGGAGCGCGAAATTCATGCCGTGAATTCGGAAAATGCCAAGAATTTGCAAAATGATCATCGACGGCTCTATCAGCTGCAGAAGTCATTGTCAAACCCATTGCATCCGTTCCACAAATTCGGTACCGGTAATACCGAGACGCTTGGGACGATCCCCAAAGCTCAAGGTGTGGACGTCCGTGCGGCGTTGCTCGAGTTTTATGCCACGTACTACTCTGCAAGCATCATGAAGCTCGTGATTTGTGGCAAAGAGAGTGTCGCGACGTTGAAAATGTGGGCGGAGGAGCTGTTTTCTGAAATTCGAAACTCTGGACGAACGTGCCCGACGTTCGGAGATGCTGTGCCTTTTGACGAGATGAGACTTGCACGTGTCGTGCAAGTCGTACCTGTCAAAGACGTTCGAGTCATAGATATCTCGTGGCCTTTGCCGTCGCTTTATTGGGAGTTTCGGACAAAACCAACCAAGTTGTTGTCCCATTTGATAGGTCACGAAGGACCAGGATCAATTTTAAGCTACTTGAAACTGCAAAAATGGGCCCATGGGCTTTCAGCAGGGCTTCTTCGTGATAACGAGGATTGGGCACTGTTTGGTGTGAAGATCGACGCGACGGATGCAGGTATCGAGCATGTAAACGATGTTGTGGAAGCAGTGTACCAGTACTTGCAGACGCTTCAGCGCGAGGCTCCGTTTGCGTCATGGATTTTCCAAGAGACACAGAACCTGGCGCTGCAGAATTTCCGCTTCAAGAGCAAGGAGAACCCTATCAACTATACAAGCTACTTGGCAAATGTTATGCACCGTTATCCCGTCAAGTACATCCTTTCGGGCAGTTACATTCTATACGAGTACGATGGCGTCAAGGTTCAGCACGTCTTGGATCTGCTAACTGCACATCGCATGCGCCTAACGGTGGTGAGCAAAACGTTCGAAGGCGAGACGCAGAGTGTGGAGAAATGGTACCAAACCTATTATACAGAAGGCGCGCTTGATACTGATCTTCTCCAGCGTTGGGCATCTCCTCCTCTTAATGCAGCGCTAAAGCTCCCACATCGTAACGAGTTCATCTGTAGTGACTTCAGCATCGTGACGCCTCCTCGCAAGTTATCCTCGCTGATGGACGAACACGACACGGACGTGTCTCTACCATTGCTGCTGCAGCAAGATGAACAGTGTCGCCTTTGGTACAAGCCGGACATTCAGTTTCGCAAACCGAAGTTGATGCTGCACTTCTTGCTATATTCGCCGTCATTGTCCACCACCCCATACCACGCAGTACTGACGAGTCTGTTTGTGCGTTACTTGAAAGACAAGCTTACGGAAGTATCATACAATGCAGAGCTTGCAGGTATGGAGTACGAGATTGGCTTTAGCTCTCGCTCACTAGAACTGCACGTTGGTGGATATTCGCACAAGCTTCCGAGTTTACTCTATAAAGTGCTGCAGCAGATGCTGGAGATGACGAAGGCTGACTTTAGATTCGAAGAGGCAGTCTTTGAGCGCGTGAAAGACCGTACTAAACGGATGTACGAGAACTTTTTCCTTGAAGAGCCTTATCAGCACGCTGTGCACGTGTGCAGTCAGCTTCTGGACACCTCAAGGTGGAGTGTAGAAGACAAGATTCGAGCTGCTGGACACCTGTCTCTGCCTGACCTAGCAGCTCACAGCCGATTGATCTTCCAGCAGGTGTTCGTTGAGGGCTTCTTCTATGGCAACCTTCAGCAGAGTGCGGCTCCACCTCTGATGCAAAAGGTACTGCAGTATTTTGGTTTTGGCAGCAAGGATTACGTGAGTGGAGGCAGTTTTCCGTTGTTACGCGGCCAAATCACAAAGCCGCGTATCGTTCGGCTCGTCGATGTAAACGAGTACCTCTTTCAACGTCGTGAATGGAACGAAGCCAACCTCAATTCTGCTATCTGCTCATTGTACCAGTTAGATTGCGAGACGGAAGGGAGCACCATGGCTCTTCGTGCACGTCTCGAGCTGTTTGCGCACATCTTCAAGGAGCCTTGCTTCAATCAGCTTCGCACACAAGAGCAGCTCGGGTACTTGTTGTTTTCAGGGATCATGCAAATGGAAGGTGTCGACTGCTTTCGTATCCTAATTCAGTCGGATGTGGCGTCACCACAACTCTTGGATCAACGTATAGAACTGTTTGTGGCACGCTTTCGATCCGTGATTGCTGAGATGCCGGCCGCCACTTGGTCGAAACAGGTGAATGCCGTTACCAAGGCTTTACTGGAGGAACCAAAACACGAGCTGGAGGAATCCATGCGCGTTTGGCGTGAGATCGCTAATGGGATGTTTGTCTTTGACCGGCGCCAACGCATAGCAGCAATCGTGTCGACTTTGCAGCCGAGAGACCTCTTGGCGTTCTACGACTCATTCATTGCTATCAGTGGGGAACGACGAAGCAAGCTAAGCATTCGCCTGTACGGCGCAAAACATGCGCTGCCCGAGCTTGTCACGGACGAAATTTCCAGTCCCAGTATTTCAACCACCGCGTCCACGGGCTTAGCCGCTGCAATGCTCTTCCAGCAGCAGCTAGACGTTTGCGCTCCTGGCCGTTCCGACGGGTGGAACCGACCTAAGTTGATCGGTGACATCGCCACCTTTAAACGACAGATGCCACTATTCCCAGAGCGTGCCGCCAGTGACTCTATCGCAGCCAGACTCTAGGCTTTTTGGCTCCTATGTACTTTCGAAGTTCGAGCAAGTTGACCTACGTCAAGCAGAATGACCGTAATAGACTGCGTTCTATCGGGGACTTTGGCAGGTCGACCATCTCGACGCGATAGCGACGGATGAAATGAGAGCCCCAATCTTACGCCCGGATACGCTGCAAACTCTTCGTGTGCGAACAAAGGGGATGTCTTGCCCCACCTTCGTTTTGATAGGACCGAAACATTTGCAGTAATGGCGCAGCAGCATTGACAGTGTATTCTGCTTAAACGATGCACGTTATTGATGTTTGTCAACTGTGGATAACCAAATTGATGACGACCTGCTTATGGTTAATAAAGCCGTTTCCATACATCTTTGCCTACGAGAAGTGGGAACTGAACGCCGATAATCTGCGAAGAGAAATATCAGTAGAGCGAGCATCTCAAACCACGGTATTGAGAAGGGTATTGGCAGCTGAAAGTGATTTGCGATAAAACTCAGACAGCGCCAGAAGCGACACGAGCCCTGTGTGCGCGTGAAAAATGTTCACAAATGCGAGGTAAATTTGCAAGGAAACTCCTCCAGGTCGCTAGGTACATCGTATAGTGGGCACGGTCAATGGATCCGTGCAGCATAATGGCATGGAGAACTGCTTCCAAGTTTTCGTGGTTGGGATTTTGTGAGGCATCTTGTCACATCTCGACATAATGTTGCTGCATGTCAAAGCGCTCCTGCAGCGCGGGTCGCATCCTTACCATTAATCATTAATGGTATCGCTGGGCCACGCACACATACACTTTTTGACCGGATAGGAGCTCGATGCAAGCAACTGTGCAAACAGGAAGGGCAGCAAGCAAGACTGACTTGATGAGCTACCATTCACTTGCTTCATTTCGGTAGCGCAAGATGCAATTTGGCGCAAAGTGCGCAATGTGCTTAATGACATGACGCGTGAAAAGGATCGAGTGATCAGATTCTCCGATGTAAACGAGAGTGCGGGTCTTTTGTCAACGTTACGCAGTTAGAATTTCCATACAATCAAAAAAGTGTCAGACAGGAGATAGATCTCACACGCATACTTGCGATCCCGTGATCGCTTCTACTTATGAGCTGAGGAGCTTGCAAAGGCTTTCAGTCACGATCCTGCCGTTCTTTTCTTATCTACTCATGACTTTTGTACTGCCATCGGTGCAAAAGGCAGCAGAGCATCGGTACTGAGAGCATCTTTCGTGCGACTATTAGTGAGAATGATGACTAAAATGTTAAATGCTGGATCGACATGAAGATCTAAGGGATGGAGCGGCGTCGCGTCTACGCGTGGTATCGGCTAGTTCATTACTTTTCCTGCTGTCTTGTCTCGATTGATGTACAGGACAGACGTACTGACCGACTTACACCAGGACAACAATTCTATTTTTGCCGTTCGTAGAAGTGCCGTTATTGGCATCTCAATCAACACATTGCTCAGTATTATTGCGAGCCCGAAAGGTGAAGCTACTAGTGAGTGTGCGCAAAGCATTCGACCTGAAAACCGAGCTTTTGATCGTACTTATCCGTCTGTGTGTCCGTAAATAACACGGTTGGGTGTACCTTACACGTACCAAGTGCGATCATCAAGCATGTCCCCTTTTCATCGGTATTGGAATATCCAAAGGCACGCTCTGACTAGGTCACTATCGTGATGCACGTGCGTGATTGGCTCATAATCGATCAAAGGTGAATATGATCATGGAAGCGAACACTGGACGCTGATCAGCAAAGGGTAACTTGAGTAGACTTCTAAGTATTCACATACATTAACAGCATCATACTCCTTCTTCAATGACTGCTGCTGTAATACAGTGTTTTGTAACTCGATTCAGTTCCATGAACTGCATTTCTTATATGAAAAGGCCAGCTCAGGAGCTGGCCTCCCCTATCTTAATTTGCAACTTAATTCGATTCTCCGAACTAGCTTGCTTACATCAAAAAGCGAGCTCTAGCGCTTGCTCGCCTATCTTACATGAGATGCTGTTAGAGTTTTGGCGACAGATGATCGGAAACGTGAGTCAAATTGGCAGTACGTTTCCATTTCTCTGTATCGTCATTGTGTTTACAATGTCCAACCGTCTTTTGGTATACATGTGTGAGACGTCTACTTGAGTGTTGAGACGCGCGCCTTGATACAAAACACGTGCGCAATCGACCATTTGATCCCAATTTTTGAGAAATATAGCCGGTAAACGGATGTCTATGCTTCTCAAATTGACCTCTCGCACACAAAAATACACACGTCGATAACACCAAGCTCTAAATTACAGTCGGAACTCGTCAAATCGGCAAAATAGGTTCTGGTGCCACAACAAAGCGGTCCTAATTGCACCGCCCTAACCACGTCGCACAGCTTTCTGCCTGACTCTCCTGAGTGACTAACTGTACGATGACGATCGTACATGAGCTAAACCAATCGTGTGTCCACAAGCCAAAGCATGTCGAAAATCTCCAAACCTTTCGCATCTGTCCGTCCGACGGATGTCCCATCCTTACCACCACTACCATCTTCCGCCCGAACCTTTCACTGAACATCATATTCAACTTTTGATCGCAGAAAATTCATATTTCACATCATCATCGAACACTTGTCCGATCGCAGTCGTACAATTGACGCGGTTCCCGAAAAAGAAGAGACCAGGTGTTTGCTGCTTGCTGGCACTAAAACATCACTGCGAAAACGTGCTGGAGCCACAATTGCACGACCGCTTCGTCCTTAAGGTTTGCAGCCAGCCCCCTCTTCCTCCTCCCGTACAGCGACCAAGGCACTTCCGCTCTCCATGTCAAGTCGGAAGCCTTCGTCAAGTACGTCGTACCCCGCTTCCACTTCATGTATCGATTGCTGCTACACTTCAAGTGTCTAATTCCGCACCTCCACTCTTCCTCGTTTCTATCTCTATCTCTATTTCTATTCATAGGTACTCCAAGTCAGACCCAAATGTCGTCCAGCAAGACGCGGATCAAGGCCAAACGGCGCTATTTACTGAAAGTGACGCCAATTGAAGCGTGGGACCTGCTGCCCACCGAGTCCATTCGAGGCCGAAGTTCCTACTGTACGCTCGTGCTGCTGGACGAACACAAGCGGGAGATCAAGGGCGAGAAGCAGCGCACGCCTGCGATGCGGCACGCGAATCCCGTGTGGAGTCCGCTGAAAGCTGCGGTACTGCGGTCCTTAGAGAGCAACGTCGAGTCCCACCAGCCACTGGGAATTGGAGCAGCAGCGGCGTCGGAAGAGTACACTTTTGGGATCCAGACGAACTTGGTGAACGCCAAGTACGTGCTGGTAAAGTGCAAAGACAAGGGACGAGTCGAGAGCGAGGATTTGGGACGACTGTTGCTTAGTTTAGAAGACATGAACACCAGTGGGGAAGAGCGGGTGGCGTGGTACGACTTGCAATTGCGTCCTGGTGGTAAAATGAAGCGTGTGCAGGGCAAAGTACGGATATCGAGTCGCATTGTGCGCGAGCCAAGTTTGTGGCAGCTGTGGACGTGTGCGGAGCAGATGAGGCAGGAGTTGCACGCACGGGATCGTAGTTTGTACTTGAAACCACATCCGAATGTGATCACGGGCAAAGAGGTACTGGAGTGGATGCTGTGTCATGGACTGAATCGTCCCATGCGTGGAGGCGTGACGTGCTCGACTGCTGAAGAAGCTTTGTTACTTGGTACAGCGCTTATTCGTAATGGAATCATGATGCACGTGTCAGGAGATCGGAGATTCACCAATAGCACGTGGAAGTACTATCGTTTTATGGTAAATCATTTAGACGCAGCTGTGCAGACGGAAGCTGTCCGACAGCGTGATATGATCCTTTCGGGTGAGGCAGAAGAAGTGGAAGACACGGAAGAGGAGGTGTTGACTCGTTCTATGATGGCCACGTCTGTGTGCAATGAAGAGGAACATGGATTAGGTGCGTCGCAAGTGCACGACGATGTTACCGGCGGTTCGGACGCGACAGGATCGGCACAGGCTGGAGACTCTGATAAAGGCAAATCCAAGTCAACGATCAAGATTGAAGACTTTCAGCTGCTCAAGGTACTTGGTACTGGAACGTATGGTCGTGTGTTGTCTGCACGTGGCCCCGATGGAAATGTCTACGCCATCAAGATCATCACGAAGATTGGCATGGACGAGAACATGCGTCGTAACGCAAAGATTGAGCGGGATATGCTGCGTGAAGTTCGCCATCCGTTTGTGGCGTCGCTGCTATTTGCTTTCCAGAACGAAGATAAGGTGTACATGGGCATGGAGTTTTATAATGGTGGTGACTTGCGCCATCACTTGACGATGAACCAGAGTGGCGAGCTGAAGCTTACGCCTGGGCGCATTGTATTTTACGCAGCAGAGTTGGTGGCGGGTCTGGCACACCTGCACAGTCTCGACATCATCTATCGTGATCTCAAGCCAGAGAACGTTCTTATCCAAAAAGATGGTCACATCGTGCTTGTGGACTTTGGCCTTTCAACGTATGCAAAGGAGGGGGATGACAAGAAAGCACACTCACTTGCTGGCTCGCCAGAGTACATTTCGCCTGAGGTTCTCGCTGCCGCAACCCCTAAGAAGGGCGAAGCTCTTGCCGTGTACGACACAACGTGCGATTGGTGGAGTCTTGGCATTCTTATCTTTGAAATGTATGTTGGACGTACACCTTTCAAAGACGACAACACTGCTATTATGTACCGCAATATTGCTGAAGGGTTTTTGTACATTCCGCCCGAATTACCTGAAGACGTTCGGTCCCTACTTGCCGGCTTGATTGAGCGAGATCCATCAAGGCGGCTAGGAGCCAATGAGGCCGTGCCGTTTTCGATCATGATGCACCCGTTCTTCAATGGTATTGACTGGGAAGCTCTGCAGCAGAAGAAGGTGCAGCCAGAGTGGGTACCAGACGTCATCGATGATGCTGACGCCAAGTACATCGACAATGAGTTCATTAACCAGGTACCAGTGGATACACCCGAGTGGCGCATGCTCGATTCAGTGGACCGCGAGCAGGAGTACTTTGCAGACTTTACGTATCGCGCGACGAAAGTTATTCAGAAGTGAGGTGGTGATACTGATGGAAAGAGAGAGAGAGAGAAAGTGTCGACAATGGCGAAACGTGGCAACAAGCATAGCAGATGTGGTTTTTGAAGTCGTGTAGAAAGCAGGATCATCAGTAGACCGGAGGCAAGTGTGGTGTCGATGTCATCGTGTAAATTGAACACTCGCGAGTGCACTGGTATAACACGTTGGTATTTCACATTTTTTTTTAGATGCAACGAAACGTTTGTTGAAACCTTGTTGTATCGAGGCGCGACGGTCATGCCGACAGCAGTCCGTAACCAGGTGTTTGCTTTATTTTACCAGTACAAGCTGTATAAACACGCTGACAAATTCGCATGGTCTATCTTTTAATCTGTTTTATCCACTTTGAAAAACGGATAAATCGTTCATGCGAATCAACCGTCGAAGCAAATAAATCATCAATAGGATTAAATCGTCATTTTCTTTCTAAACATCCTCCCGGTGCCCTGATGTTAAGCAGCAGCGACGTCGACGCACAGGAACGACTGCTCCAAGCACCACTCGATCCGCAGCAAGCGGCAATGAGCAACAGTGGAAATCTGAGTAATATCCGTCAGCAGGAGATTGGCGGAGTGAACGGCTTGACGCCGCTCTCAATCCTGTCGACGCCGTCTACGTATTGGCAAAAGTGCGATACTATCCAGATAATCGTTGCATTTTAGAAATGACCAAAGCTCACGATATGACGTTTCTAACGATAGAATGAAGATGATGGAAGCGGCAGCGCTTATGCGCTACTTGCGCTATGCGAACGTAATGTTGGCGGTGCTGCAGGCGCTCGCAGGCTTCATGGGACTGTTTAATCTCGTCGTGCTCGACATCACGTGCTTCTTCATCTCGATCTATGCCATGTACGTGTTGTCGATATGACTGGATATTTTGATATGATATCATTTTTCTGATGGGATATTCGTCCAGACAATATGACGTGTTTTTGTTTTCAGCATATTTGCACTGCTGCTGCTGGCCTTTGAATGCCGGTTCAAGCACATGGAACCCTGGATCCGCCAACAATTTGGCTTTTTGTTTACGTACCGTGGACGTACAGCCTTCATCTTTGCGGTCGGCTTCATGGACTTTGGCATGGACAGCTCCCTCGCCTATTTCGTGGGCTTGCTCATGTGTGGCAATGCCGTTTTGAGCCTCGTCATTATGCTATTCCATCCGCAGTTCCGTCAAGGAACATTGGATGTAAACATGGACCCGACGGCCACATACCGTCCTGCAGTCGAAGAAACCGAGACGCTACTGCGTCGACACGAAGGACTGGCGTCAGCTGCTGGTGCTTATGTGCTTCATGAAGCTGAAGAACATCCGGAATTTATGGCCAAGGTACAGTTATTTGCGTCGTCGTACTGTGACGACTCTGGACTCATTCGACGATGCTGTCGTGTTGTGTAGATGGCCCAATCGTACGCTTCAAAGCATGGATATGTGCCTCCTATGCAAAAGTAGCGCGACCCGTGCGTTACGTTGTCGACACACGCTGTCTGCTGAACTCTGTGTTCATGTTGTCGATAACGTCGGCCGCGTTATGTGGCCGCATTTTTTTTTCTGATGTAATAATCCAAACCGCTGGTCATGCACGCTGTACTTACATGACACTATTGGCGATGAACGGTACGCGCAGGAACTCCAGGCTGAATTCGAGAGCGCAGAAGTGAATGCACGATCTAGCATACCAGATGCCACCGGTGTGGCTGTCTTCAATATAGTGGCTACAACAACACTGCAAGCTAATGGGTGGCGTGTTCGAAGAAGCGGATTGCTATTCTCGATGACGACGAAACTAGTCGCGCTCAATTCCATGAACTTTTGAACGCGTGTCCAGTATTCGCAAAGACCGCGTCCCTTCGGTTCTGCAGCTGTTTGCCATGAGCGTCGAAAGCTTCGATCGATGAGCGGGTAAGCACAATGGCCTATTGTGCTCACTACAGACTGGCTCCAGACAGGCTCGTATCGATCCGCACACTGTGCGATGATGTTCACACCGTATCTTCAAAGCATCTGCACAATTACCACGGGATCCGAGGCTGAAACTCTACAGTGCTCTCGCTCTCTCATTCATCTTATACTGCTGCCGTCCTCCACAACTGGATCAGATGAGACCAAGTTCCAGCACCCTCCCGACTGTTTGCTTCCTCCATTTGTGTGGTGTGCTGGTGATCAAAGCACCAATCTTCGTTCTCGTCACCGCATCGTGACATGGAGGATCTCGACCATCAGAACTTCTTCGACCGACTCGCACCTTGATATGAGACGTCTTTATTTTATTTTACTGATCTGGATCGATTTGCATGTGGCATTGAAGGGTCTCGGGTCGTCATGAGTACACGCACGAGGCGCAAGAATCTGCTGAAGCGCAAGAAGAGGCGGCTGTTTGCGACTATTGCAGCCGAGATAACGACCAGTGTAGGTTTGCTTGGGGTTTCCTGGGCCATTTACGGCTCCTACATGCTCTGACTGGGGCCTTTATCTCGCTTTAGGAAGAGGCGAAATGGACTTCGGAGAAAGAAGAACTGGAGCTTATGAGGAACGAGGAAGAGCGACAACGAACTCACGAGCAATGGACAAAGGCGGTCGAGAACTCCACAGCTGCGTTCGTTGCGCGTAAGAGGATTCTAGCTCAACGGCAGGAGTTAATCGCGTCTCTACGACTGGTGAGTACTATACCAGTTCTGGCTGGATCGCTGTCGTTTTGATTGACGCGATCACTGTTGGTGAACAGCTACTGCAGCAGAAGACATCCGAGCAGTAGTCGGCGAGTGTGAGGTGTACGCTACTTGGGTGCACTGCATGAAAGCAGCGTGCAGCTGGAATGACCTCTCTGGATTTTACCAAGGCAAACTGTGTACGACATCGAGTCTTGAGGTTGTGGCTACGTGGACCAACCATTTTACTACTCTCTCTACATACCTCCCTAGATGACGTCCGAACGTATGAGGACAAGAGCTGATCAAGTTCGCAACACGAACGAAGTCTTGACTCTACCTCTACGACACTGCCGGGTCTCCTGTAGGTTGGTTCAACTGTTTTGCTGAAAACGTCGACGAATCAGGCAATACACAAGAGCAGCTCGTGATGACACATCCCAGACGAAATCCTCGATCTAAATTGCTTCAACAGGCTTTACAGGCCAGAGCACCTTTGTACGACATCACGCTTATTACACAACACAGACTTCGTGTGGTACTCTATACGGCATCCTTCCTTTCGCCTTTTACCATCAACAGAGAGCAACGGAGACTACTGGTGAGCTATGCTCCTCGTTTGTCGATCAATAGCTGGTCCAGGCCTCGCTGGATCTGGCTCAATGAGTGTTGTTTCCCGTCAGATCGTATCCTGCCGTCATCGTCAGTGGCTTTGCGGTGTCAAGCGCAACAAAATCATGCTCCCATCTCCATTATATCCACCGCTGCCGCTAGACACTCCAGTACAGTATCCAACATCGACGAGGACCCAACGGAATCGTACTGAAGTCCCTCAGCATCGTTGCACCAGAGCTATTTGCACAAATGCCTTCGTCGGATGGCAGCTAACGTGAAAGCTCACCGGCGTTGCCAGTATGCGAATCTTCCACCTACTGAGCAGCGCACAATGCGAAAAATTGAGCTGGACGTTATCTAGAGCATTGCAGTCGCTGCTTTGCCTCGACGCGCTTGATGCCGTCGTAATGGCAAGTACATCTCTCGCCAAAACTTCGTAAACCAGTATATCAAGCTCCTCCGCCGTCCGAGACTAGTTACAGGCGGCACGTTGTCGGCGCTGCCTCGGACTGACTGAACAATTTTTGCACTCCCGTTGACAACGACACAGCTTTCAGAATCTTGGGCTGCCACTGATGATGCTGACGCATCCAAACGCGTGTAAGGCATCAGGCGGCGATGTCTGATCCAAGTTCAAGCCAGAAATGCTGCTATCTTGAGCAGTGGTATTGGAAAGCGATGAGAATGATGTCCTTCTAGTCACACGCAAGCCGGTTTCCGAAACAATGTCCCCACTTCTCTGTGCCTCAGACAACAGCGAGACCGACATTAGAGTCTCGGGTGCGATGACAATCGGATCATCTTACACGCTAAGTTTATTGACTCCTGCGGTGACCAGGTCTTCCATAACGTCCTCCACAGCAAGTGATGCAACATTTACACCAGTAGCAGCGTAATCGGTAGTCTGGAATGTAGACTCCGACGTCACTGAGCTCACGTCGTTCAATTCCTCTTGACTGTGTCGATCCACAAAGCCGTCACGACTATTTAACGACACATGATGCGCTTCCAATTCCACATTATCGAGAGCAACAATATCCTCATCGCTAGTCATCGCATGCGAATCGTTGGACAAAGCAAGTGTTTCGCTGCTCTCTTCCTCAAGTGGTAGTGGTGTACCCTCGTAGAGAGGCAGCGCACCATCAGCAGCGCTTATGGCATCAAATGTGGTGGGTGGAGATGGCGGCGAGCGATCAGACAGTCGGGATGATGAGCTTGTCTGATGAAAAGCAGTGACCCCTCCATCAATAACTTTGTTGAGCTGACGGACATCAGCGTGCACATCACCGCCGACCATATTGAGGACCAAAGCATTTTCTGAATCAGAAAGCCGCCGTTCGCGGCTGACCAAAACTCCTTCTGACGCTTGATTGCACAGTCCATCAATGCACTCACCTTCACCAGCAATCTGCATCTCGCTACGTTTTGATAACACGTGCACCGGGTGCACATCGCGGTCGTTCAAGTCCTCCACACTAGAACGCGGCAGCTGGCACTCATTAGTGATAGGGGTACCGTTGACTGCCTCCGTATTCGTTTGCGAAACGTTTTCCACCCCACCTGTCGTCCTAATATCTGCTGACGTATGGTCCTCCAATCGCCAATGTGCCGATGAATTCACAACAGACGGGCGCTCTAGCGTCGTACTAGCTGCCCCATGAGAAGACGGAGACGGAGGTGGATACGCCAACGTTCCTGAAAAGTCTTGTACCTTTGTCTCCTCAACGTTGTCGTCATCCGACCACCGAGGTGGCACAGGTGTAAAATCGACAATCGTCTGACCTTCCTCTTCGTCGTCTGATGCACCCATGGACATGTCCGAATCTTCATCGCTGTCGTGCGTTGACTCTATACCATTTTCACGCGATGGATGTAGCGTCGGTCCCGCAGCTACACTTGACATCATTATCCCTGCAAAGTCACTTCGATACCGCTCGCCACGCTGCTGCTGTTGTTCAGGGATTGACGGGATCGTGGCAACGTGTGGTGCATCCTCATACGTGTCAATATCGATTGAGATGGCAGAAGAATCCGAGCTCGTGGACTCACGACAACGTTCCGATTTGCGTTCACGCGGACGCACAAAGTTGAGCTCATCGCGCTGAGGTGTCAATGGGGACCTCGTGGGTGAGCGCATGCTAGCGAAGTCAATAGGAATTGACGATTCAGTCGTATTCAGCGCATTCACATCCAGCAGGGGAGGTCCATCAAAATCGTCTAACGTAGATTCGTACGGACCAAAGTCGGGGGGAAGCACCGGCTTGTCGTCGAATGTCCCGCGGTATGCGCAAAAATCGTTCGACGGAGCCTGGTACACGGGAGTCGGCATATCGAGCTCGTGCTTGTCTCGGCTTGCTTGCTGGAGTGCAGACATGTAGGCATCAGGCATGCGGTGGTCATTGCATGACCGAGATATGTTATCTTCGCGCTGCAATCGCTCCAGTCGTTCCCGGCTGCTCAACTCTTGGAGCCGACTGAAATTTCCCGTGTCGTTGCTGCTCAGCTCCACAAGCAGGTCACTACTGCTACTACTTGTTATCCCATAAAGAGGGCTTTGCGAAGCATCGGTGGATGGACGATCAAAACTGGAGGAGAAAGACGGCGCTGCAGTTAGTCCCGGCACATCCATCGTGTAGCGGTCTCCACCTCTGGTGATGGGATCATCCAGCGACAAGCTCTGGCTTGGCCGGAAGTCAGACGGACGCAAGCGCTGACTTTCGCGATGGTTCTGCGACCGACCGTAGTCACGTTGCTGTTCGTGCTGCGATCTAGCATGCAGCCCCACATCCGGTTCACCTCGCGTCCTATGCCGAGACGCAGAGTGTGGTAAATCCGACCTGAATCCAGACATGTGTAACGTACTAGACATGCGATGACGCGAGGGCTTTTCACGGTGCATGGACTGCAAAAAGATCTTCGGTGGTTCATCCTCTCGGTCGCTATAGCGTCCGCCTACCCGCGACGTCGCGTGTTGACCAGCATCATTGTCAGCGCCCAAAAAGCTAATCGACATCGTCGACGAGTGGGCTGGTTGCACGAGTGCAGACGTCGGCTTCGGAGCAGTTGTAATCGCCTGGAAACAGTGCATGCAGATGCGCAGTTTGCGCACCTCGTCTCCTCCATTCGTTCCTGCAAAGTTGCTATTTTCAATGGAAAACTCCTTGCTGCACGCAGCACAGACAACTTCCCCGCACTTCCTGCAATTCATCTTCCGTAGCAACAAGAGAGAGAAAGAGTCCTTGCACACGCCACATTTGCTTCGATACTTCTTTGGCACGAGCTCCAGGTCGCTGCGATAGCGCTGTTCATTCAAGCGTTTGCTCCGGAGCATATTCCGCACTTGCGTGACAAAGAGCACTCGAGCCCGCAGTAAGCTCAGCGGCACCGGTGTGTGCTCTTTCAAGTTCAGTTGCACCAAGTGGATCACATCGACATGTCCCGGTCGCTCTTCACTCTCCACGACGACAAATCCAGAGTGGTACAAACTCCCTCGCACGAGTCCAAACTCGCGCTTGAGGTCGTCGCAACCCGGTAACTTGATCGAGTGTTGGCCGAGGACCCACCCTTTGCGTCCTCTTGCATCCACAAACTTGTCTTGACACTCTAGAAAGCAGAAGTCCCGATGCGGGAGCCCCGGCGGCATCTGCGCGACCATCCACTTGGCCGTCACTTGATGCAGCGGCTTCTCCTTGGTCCGAGGTGCCATCACATGCAGCACGACGCCGTCGTAAAACCACTCGCGGTGCGCGCGTGCAAACTCCTTCATGTGGCGCGTCGAGCCCAATTCAAAGAGCGACGCGACCTCGTGCACGGTCCCAGGGACGCTCGTAACGGCGCACATGCTGGCAGCGGCGCCAGCAGTCGCTGTGGAGCGTAACGAGCCGGCGTACACCTGCACGTCATTGTGCTTCTCGACGTGGCGCCAGGCGATGGGGCCACCGGCGCTTCGGGCGCGTTCCACGAGCTCTTGAGCGGCTTCACAGGATTTCCGCACGAGATACGCGCGTTCCCTGGCGGAGAGAGGGGGCGGCTGGAAGAAGTTGTCCCGGAGAGGCGTCCAGGTGCGCGAGGCGGCGGACGGGGCGGCGTACGATGCGAGCGGAGACGACCCGAGACTGGAGGTGGACGCTGAGGGGGTCAACGTCTGCGCACGGGAAGCCGCGCGGCCTCGACGTGCCATGGCGGAGACGGAGAGGGAGAGCGACTGGAGGCGGCTGGAAGTCGCGACGTTGTTGGTTTGAGAGTGACGGAGAGAGAGCCGGACGGACGGCCGGCCGGACGAACGACTGAACGTGTCGATCGTAACGAGACGACGGTCGTGCGAGTGGGGGACTGACACGTTAAGGTTGCAAAGTGAGGACGGCGGATGGGATAGGACTGAATGCGGTGACTTGGTCGTTCGTTCGTTCGTTCGTTCGGCGGTTAAGCTGTAGGGCCGTTCGTTAGTTCGGCTGATAAGCTGTGAGACTGTTAGTTAAGTAGGTAGGTAGGATGGTTGTTTGGTGGCGGTGGTGACTGTGTGGATTTTTGGGTGGATGCGTTAACTGCTGAGAGGCGTGTGACCGTGTGTAACCGTCGCGGGTACATTCGGTAGCCAGGGGCTTCTTTCTTAATTGAGATCGTGTAGTTGTTGTTGTTGGAGGCCATTTGTTGTGGGGGTGCCGAGAGGACAACACACAGCAGGCGCACTCTATTCCACCTTTTCTTAGCAAAAGATGCATACTAATACATCCATTCGGCCTCGCTTTTGGAAATCAACTCTTGCGTTGCATCCTCTTGAGGTGTGACGACTTTTCGTGTTCTTAGACACGAACGTGACGACGTTGAAGAATAGCGTAATTGCGGCTCGACGTTGTTGCGGTCGTGTTTGGAAAGTGCACATCGTGCAATCCGTGCGGACTGTACGCACGTATTTATCTCTCGTTGTGTGTAGCTCCGACTTACTCTGTCCTGACACTGTTCTTTTATACTTGAAGTGCTCTTAGTCGTCAGAGTCAGACCATCCCCGCAGAATACGTCGCACTTCTGCACTTAATGTGGCCTCCTCGCACAACGAGTTGCGGCAGATATCGGTGACTTGGCGCCTTGCACCACAATCATTATTTTCATCGAAAATTTCGTTACAACTGGTGTATCGCGTATCGGAATGGCCGGTTGAATGCAAACAAAAGTGGAGTGCAATGTAATTTTTATCGTCGCTTTGCAGTCGTGGATGAGTGACTGCATGTATGTCGATTCGAGCTATCTGCAATTGCGATGTTCACGTCGTGCCTCGCGCCTAAGGGTCGTTCTTGTGTAATAAATGTCGAAAATACGCGAAAATTCTACAAGTATTTCTGTTCAGTTTCATTCCAAACGAAACTAAAAATCTTGTAAATTGACCCCGACCCGGACCAGGCTCTGTCAAGTCGTCCTGGACCATCATCCGTTCGTCCTTCCGCTAAAACTTAATATAGTGTCGCCTCAGCAATTAGCCGATTGTATTTTTTCTTTACTTTATGGATTATGAAGTGGGCTCCGTATCCCAATTTCCGGAACATTTTCTACTGTTTGAGGAGCGTGAAAGTGGACTTGTGAAGTTTTTGCTAGCAGATAGATATCTTAGCTTTAAATAACATGAAATGATACAAAAACTTCCTTTGTGATGGATTATGAGTCGAAGAAAACCAAAATGCATTGTCGGTCGGCGAAGCCGACCGTGTCAGTTTATAATCAGAGGTGCTGCCAGCATCAAAGTGGTGACGGGAGACAAGCTGAGTTTAAACGCACTTTATTATCGCATTAAAAAATCATCAAATTCCAACGATATGGCGATCGGCAATTTACGGATTGACGCATGAGTCTCGAGCTATTAGTGGGACAATAGACTTGGTCTAGAAATTATTGAACGGGCTTTAAAAAATAGAAAGAAATCGAAACAATGTGGAGTGCAAGCAGGTTTCTATTCAGGCGGTGTAAACGGTTCTATAGTATAAGGCAAGCTAATGCATCGGTAGGATACAGTAATTGTGCATACATTGTTGACACGTCTCAAAGTGCTACGAACCGTTGCGCCAACAAAACTGTGGATTCGAGCGCATTCAAAGGCACACACATCCCTTTCAACGCTTTTGCTTTAACCCGATAAAACCCCACGCAAAACTTTTTGGCGAGTCGTCTCGCCCGTTAAGCTGTACGCTTTTGCATCATTAACCTTCATGGTAATTGCACCATCTGAATGCAAGCAGGTGCTGCTACGCTAAAGGTTTTCGATCACAAGGATCATTCATTGACCACTGGAACGTGGGCGGATGATTATCCAATTTGTTCACCACATTGTTCACTCATTACGCTCTGCTTTTTTCACACTCGAAGCTGTGTTGCAATAGTAAATAATGTGGTAATTTAACATAAATCCACCAGGGTGACCCGTTTGTGTCGCCCTGGTCCGGCTGGTCCCGATCACGGGCAAAGTTTGACCTGGACCAATGATTCAAGGTAAGAGTCTAAGTTTTAGGTACAACAGAGATGAATGCGCTAGATTTCGGGGCGCAAAACTTTAGCGAGTTTCTAGAATTTGACTTTTTTATCACTACCGGCTAATCAATGTTCATCCAGATTGGCATCGTCGATATCGTCTTCAAGAAATTAGTCCATTTAGTCGTCGGCGTTGTCTTCTATGATCGGGAATCGATCCGGATCTTATCGCCTGCCTCTTCATTGTGAGACGTCCGTAAGGGATCTACCTTGTTTTCATCCTCGTTTGAACCGCTTCGATGCTGCGGGGGACGAAGGAAAACGTGTAGGATTCTTGCATGCAGTCTCACTATCAACACAATGCGTGGCGGTATATTGCTATAATTGCGAGCCCGAAGGGTAAAGCTATTAGTGAGCGTGCGCAAGGTTGAATGCCGAACTTTAAAACGTACTCATCTGTCTGTGTGTCTGTATGTGTTTCTGGGTATGTGTCTGTAATAACGCGGTTAGGTGTAGATTACACGTATTGAGTTAGATCTAGCTTGTCTCACGGCTGGTTACACCTGGTTAATTGGGACTGTTTTCTTAGGTTTTATAAAAAACGATGAGTTAAGATTCCATAATAATCGTTTTTTCGCTCATCCTTTTTTTACGCAATCCGTCGCGCAATCCCTTGCTCAGTTCTCTTCGGTCAGCCTCACACTCGTAAATATGAGTCATTTCATGTCCGACTTAAGCGATGATTGCGCGTGTTTATCTAGGATAGGTGAGATAATGGATGATAATTCGGTCGTTGAGGTGGAGGTCCCAGTCGTGGATGAAGCACTCAAGCTGACCAGGAAGACAAGCCGGAGTCAGAGCATGCTATGGACATATTCACGGATGTTATGCAGCCGCAGGAGCTTATGGCAGCATTGTGTAAACACTGCTGACATCAGTAAATCACCACAAAAAGAGTAAACCATATGAACAAGTGCTCCGAGTTTCGTCACGTTATGAACGGGATCGAGATTTTGGAGCGCCCGAATTGGTTCGCGTCCAACAAAAACCGATGTCTATGCAGTGCAACGTTGTTAAGGCCACGTAGATCTCTGCGTCATCTCATGGTCTGCGGTCCATCAAAGAGTTTAGCTTACCTTCGCTATCGCGGTCGGAGAAGGACAATTTCCAGCTCCGTATCGCCATGCTTTACTACGCCACAGATCTGTTTTTCAGCGCGCATCTTCCATGAGCTATTCGCGTGCTGAGCCTTCGCAAAAAGATCATATCGAATCGCAAGAAAATTGCAGGTGATCTGTTAAACAAGTGCTACGATTGGCTGAAGGCAAACGTCAGCATCCGCATGAAAGGCGCTCATTTATGTCTGGTTACGGATGACTGGTCAATCATCAAGAATTACCCTATTATTAACTACATCGCCACATCTCCTACAGCCTGCTTTTTACTCGATCCGAATCTACTGGACAGCAAGATCACAGCGCGGATTGGATCGCGCAGGGCATCACGCACGTATTAGATCACTGTGCACGATAAACGTTCTGTGGGGAGGTGAATGATAACACTCAGCGAATAAAAATGCCTGGCAACAGCTTAGCAAGGCGTTCCCATTGCGGTACTTCATGGGCTGTTGTTCTCATGGGCTGCACCTTTTCGTGAAGGATGTGTTCTCCGCGCCAAAGCTAGAAAGTGTAATGACAATGAGGCGACGTATCCTAAGGGATATCTATTTGTAGATATGCTCTTCTTTGTTTCCGCGTGCAAGGATCTGGTGATGTTTTCCCCACAATTATCATCTAGTAAAGGCACGCCTACAGGAGACGCAGCAAACTGAGTCATTTTGTTTTCTCGTTTGGTCCGCGCCCACTCGTTGGAGTGCCGTGCAAGTTGTGTGTGCGTCGGTGCTTGTATCAGGGCATCTGATTACATCATCGTCAGCGCTCGCAAGATTTTGTCGATACGGCTATGCCGAGGTCTGAGCGACATAAGATAGAGGACCTCGCCACCGGCAATGACTTCGTCGTGAAGCTGAACAACGCCATTTTCATTATCTAGTCTATCGACGCGCTAATTGCCAAGTACTAGTCTGACAGTGTCCCAGTTAAGAAGTTCTGCCGGATTTTCACTCCCTCCCGGACAAGCTCACTTCTATCTACGAACGAGCGGTCATCATTCAGCTGGAGCTGCAGTATTTGACATAGATTTCGGCTTCCCGCTTTCAATTCATGTATGGTGTAGCGCATGGTCTGTCATATCTCCTCGATCCTCGTCTTCTCGGTGCTGGTTTGCCGCCACCCAATTTCCATGAACTCGAAAAAGCTTTGTAACACTCCCATCGATGACACCACACCCGTTGACGACAGCAGACGGATGTCCTTGTACAACGAATTGACTAAATTTATTATTTAGGCGCGGCATGAAAAAGCTACGAACTCATTCCGATTTTCAATGTTGACAAAAAAGGCGAAGACGCCACTGCAATACTGGCTGACGGATGGTGTCCAGTGGCCAAATCTGCATCCCGTAGCAGCCAAGCTGTTCTCGATGGCAACATCCAGCGATGCATCGGAACGCAACTTCTCCGCAATGGCGTTCATCCATTCAAAGCTTCGTAATTCACTTAGCACGGCATCAGTTGAAAAGCTCGTCTTCACTAAGAGCAACATGAGCGCTTTCCATGAAATGCGGACCGCGGAGTACTATCCATCGGATGAAGAAGGCTACCCAGCGAAAGTGATTGATTGACAAAAAAATTGCCCGAAAATCGGTGGTACAGGTTGAACTAAAAGCCCGATGAGTTCGCAAAAAAAGAAGGTATTTTTATCCTTGGCCTGACCCCTTCTCGTAGGTTTAGAGGCACGCTTGAAGTCTTTCTTTGGATAGATCGCTATTATGAAGCACTCACGGGATTGGCTTAAAATCGACTAAAGTTGAATGTGGTCACATAAGTAAAACTGGACGCTCATACGCAACCCCAGCCATCTGTGCTAGTTCTATACAGACATTTACAGCATCGTACTGATTCTTCAGTGACTACTGCTGTATATTGTTTTGCAACTTGAATCGATTCTCCGAACTGGATCGCTTGTGTCAAAGGAAGAGCTCCAGAGCGCGCTCCCCTTTCTTATGTCGTCGGCCGCATCTAGTGGTCGGCGATGTTACCGAGCAGGATCATCCTCCATCTCCCAATACTCACATTCGCCTCTTTAAAACATTATCACATCAATGAGTTACTTTTACACACACCGATCAATTAGTACCTCAATTTTAAAATTAAAAACGATCAATCCTTTTCTCAGCTGCCAACCATTCGGAATGGCTACTTGAACATACAGAACTTAGTTCTGTTATCTGGACTGAAATCATCATATCAAAGGGCGAGCTCTACAGCTTGCTCCCCTAACTTAATGAGAAATGAAAGTGTGGGAGCTCCCTCGGCAACCGAGAGAAAACGTGACAATAGACTCTACTTTCTAGTTATGCTAATTGCTTTAGATGAAAACCACATCGCACAACTATTCGCTGTGGGTGCGTGACTTTCGCCGCGATTGAGCATCGAATATGTGCTAATTATCCCTCAGTCCGCCCTCGGTCACGTTTGAGCCAATCTTGTGTGGGCATCGGAACATGTCTGTAACTTACACTTTTTATGATTTCGCAAATAGTGACCAAATCGTAAAGCTGCACCTTCAATCCAAATCTACCTAGAAGGGTGAGCATGCTACACCGCACTTAGTACAATGTATAAGGTACACCTTGCAGTATTTACAGACAGACTGACGCACAGACAGATGGACAAAAAGTAGCTTGTGAAAAGTTTGGTCTTCCCTTTGTGCCTCGTCACAAATAGCTTCACCCTTCACCAGGCTCGCAATCAAGATCAACTAAAATGCAGGACTCATTTTTTTCCGTCAAAAAAAGAGCCCATCTGCCGATTTATTTACATACCTTCGAGCCATTTCTATACTTCCCACCCATTTACTATAGAAAAAGAGCCCATCAACCGATTTATTTACATACTTTCGAGCCATTTCTATACTTCCCACCCATTTACTACATCCCATTGAATAAAACCCACCCCTTGTCAGCTCATGCTCGCAGTCCCCCACGCCCACTACCGCGTGTTCCACGGGAACCCAGCGGCAGACTCGCTGCTGCATGAAGCACCGCACGACCAGTTCCCGTTCGCGCTGAGACCAAATCAAGTACCGGATGCTCCGACAGACCTCCACGTGCGGGAGTTTGCCCAGCTCGAGGTTCAAGTGAAGGCGCTAGAGTTACAGACTGCGCCAAACAATGTGATTTCTAACGCCAGGACTCACGCCGTCGCCGGCGCATTGGCCGAATGTTTCTATTTCTATACGCGTCTCTTTACGGTCGAATCGTTCGTGTGGCCGGACTTTCTGACCGCTGTATGTACGAAATTGGTCGAGCATTTTGCAGCAAGGTAGTGTGCGGTTGCAAGACGGGGGGTACTGAGTGGGTTTATCGGATAGAACCAACTTGGGTTTTCTGTTTTTGGGTTTGTTTTTTGGATCTGCTTGTGATTGTAGCGATAACGTGATCGTCCAAAGTGCGATTTTGAAAGTGTTCCAGCGTGTAAAAGCTCACGTGGCTCAAGTGACGGACGTTTCGAAGGTTCGGTGGATAATTGTGTTTATAAGAACAAGATGTTAAATGGTAATTGTTGTGACACGAGTGTGTTGTAATTTGTGCTGTTGTTTTATTTTGTATTGGTATCTGCATCTAGATGCTGGGGCATCTAGCCACGTCTTTAAATCATGAAACGAGTGTGCTGACTCGGACGTTAACGCTGCAGTTAGTGGCGACGATGCCGACTTTGCTTGTGCACGACACGACCGTGCAGCAGCAGATTATCGTGAAGCTTGCAGCTAATGATGAGGACGAACGCTTGGCTGCTATCGAAGCAGTAAGTGCATTTTTGCCGTTGTCGTCTTCGTATCGGAAGGACGTGCTGGAACTGAGTCTGGAAAAGTCGACGACGAGGTTGTGCAGTTTATTGCCTGGTTCCGTCTCAAACTCGATGGAAGCACATCAGGCATGGACTCATTGCGCAGAACTGTATGAGCGTTTTGTAGACGATAAGAGTGCAGTAGCAAGCGTCCGCGCCATGACGATGTTGACTGCAAGTTATCCAGGTACATTGTTGCCAATGCACGAACAGTTGTTGCTCCACGTGATCGACCAAGACCCTCGGATATTTGTACGAAATTTTACACTACTGGTGTCCCAACAACTACTCAGTAGCAAAAGTACTACTGGCGAAGAAAGCCAACTCGCAAATCTCATGGAGGATGTTTTTTTGCGCATTGGAAGCCCCCACGTAATTGCAGGTCGTGGTTTGATGCGTATCAAATTGTCAGCTCTGCTCTTGCTCGGAGCGTGGTCTACCTACCATGAAGTAGGTGCTAAGGCCCACGAACTGCTCAAGGACATCAAGAGACTGCTTGCCTTTACAACGGACGGACGGTTTGGAAAAGCGTATACGTCAACTATTTCGAATGTTGTTCGTCACGAGCTCACAACAATGGGAAAGTTGTCGGGGCAGAGTGTGGACGAGTTGCTGCTGTTGTTGCATCCTCGTGCCGCCGTTGCTGCCGAGACCACTAGGTATCACGCGCTGGACGCGCTTTCGCAGCTTTGCCAAGACTATCCCCAGCACCTTGCGACACGCGTTTCTTCGCAGTTGGTTGAGTTGTTGTTCATGTCCACTGACAATGTGCCTTTTACAACCTCTAAGCTGTGTAGAACAGCCGTCTTCAGGGTGCTCGGTGATTTGCGTCCATCAAATGGTACTTTGACCGAAAAGGAGCTTCGCATGTTGCTAAAGGAAGTATCGTCGGACGAGCGACCGAATGCTTTTCATCTACGGTCTGTCGCCGCTACATTCTTTAGCTGGACGCAAAATTTTGTGCTCGCTGGGATTGACAAAGACCACGATACAACTGCAATCATCGAAGAATTTGAACGGCAACTACTAAAGCCTGAGCTGTACGAGTCCCATGCCGAGCGGTACGAGATGGCGAAACTGGCGATGCTGCGAGGGCGATTTTCTCTTGCATTGCAGCTTTTGGAATTGATCGTTATAAAAGCTGATAGTGAGTGCTTTGGTGGTTGGTTGCTTGCTCTTCAGACTCTGTGTGAAGCAGAGTCTCGCATCGCAACGGACCGATTTGTACAACTGGAAAGTCTTCACTCGCTTACCCGGACTAGCATGTTCTTACAGGCAGCACGTACATCAAGCTTTCGCTTCGATCTACAGCTACATCTAGTTTCGCTCCGACACGAGTGGGTGCAGCTTTTACAGAATGCTCAACAACTAGCAGGCGAGGCTGCATTTACCAATGTCGCGGGAAGCCTTAATGGACGAGAGGGGCAATTGAGCATCCAGTTGCGCAAACTTGCCTGCAAGTACAAAGCGTTGCGTAACTTGTTGCTAGGCGCCAACCAGCTTGACCTCGACGCACTTCAAGTGCACGCTGACATGTGTATTTTACTGGCTTCGGCAGTCGATGGTTTCCTGTTACTTCGGCCGCCGGCCTCCGTTGATTTCTTGGTACATCGGAAGACCAACAACAACAGCTGTCAGTGGAATTTTGGAATGCTGGAAAGCCTCAGCGAGGATGTTCGCGCGAAGCTGGATCGTTTCAGTAAGCTCTCTCCGTCTCGCCAACCAGGTGTTGGTGCACGCGTGGTGCAGCAAATTCTGAAAGCACTTTGCGTGATTCCTCCGATACTGCCGAGGATATTCTTTTGCTCACGATTGCGCGGCGACCGGCGCCTACGTTCCAGTGCGCAATTTTTAACTTTCTCGGAAAATGCGGCCTTCACGACAAAGCCGCGGTCACGATCACAACTTGGAGTGTCCCTTGGAACTGGTTTTACCAGCGTGTTGAAGGGTGTGCTGGCTTTTTCACGGAGCGCTCGAGCTTATTGGAGCAAACAGTTTGAAGCTATTGAAGCCGAGACTCTCGTTTGTCTGGCTGGTGCCAATATAAACGGGGCCAGCAGTGTCATTGCTAGTTCATCAGCGTATGAAGCGGCGGATGTTTCGCTTGATAAAATGTTGGTTCATCATCGTGCTAAAACAAGTCTTCCACTCGCGTGGAATCAAGCAGTTGAGTCAGCAACAGGCGACGATGGTCACATGACGCTCTACTTGCCATTCATGGCGCCAGTGCATGTGAAAGCGACAGACCTGACAGTAAAAGGTTCGTTTGTCCTAATGGCCAAGCTCGCCTTGGTAGACCGCCAAGGGGAGAGGTGGCCGCTGGCTGTTACAGGGTGTCGGCGAGGTTTTATCGTGTATTGAATGATACTAGCCAGATAGGAGGAGATACCGGAAGATGGGACGCTGACGTGATACGAAACAGCTTACCTGTCGATGTTGACGGACTTCGTGAGCAAGTTAAGCGCATCCACATGAAGTCACACTATTCAGGAAACAGCGTGGGTCTCCCAAGTGCGCAGTGTGTTGATAAAGGAGCAAAGCATAGTCAAACACACTGACCTTAATAAATACAGACGTACAGCGTTTCATGCATGAAGGGATGGCTGCCTGCATAGCGCCCTCGTACTCGAGTAATAGCAGTGAACACGAATCCGGTGTATCCAACAAATACAATTACTTCATGAATATTAGAAACATGCAACCTTCATCTTGACCCTCATGCATTATCGTTGCTCCTAATTGAAAGTGTGAAGTTGATTGGCACTATTTAATGCAAGTTAGCGGTGGTTTGAACTAGTCTGGCAAATAAGCGACACCCTATTGTGTAATCAAACATGCTGCTAATAGCGCACTTGTACTCGTTTGTGGACAAGCTAGCTCAAGCAAAGTTACCTACTGCACAAACCCGATGAAGTCATGGCCGACAGCCGCTTGCCGCGACCCACCTTCAGTATGCATCACGTCATCGTAAACTGCTGGTTTTGTATGAAAAAAATCCTCCATATCAAGAAATAGCGACTCCATTGGTCCCAAGACTTGCAGGTCATCCGAACGCGCACGATTGGAACTAAAGTATAAGAACCTGATGATGTTATGTGATGTGGACCCTAGGAATACAACAACAGGAAATACTCATCATCCATACAAGCCAAAAATGGCTGCAACTAGTATGCACAGTTCAGAACGTACGCCAGCATCTGATGTCTAGTGCACGCCATTCAGTAGCATACGATGCCCGTTTCGTTCTGTACATACCGGAGTCGCTTCTTCAGCAGTAATTATGGTACCGACTGACCGTCAGGCCTGAGCTTATCTTGTCAATTTAAAACCACGAAGCTGCAAGTGTGCTCGTAGCCACTGACGAGCACGCTACTCACAGCTGGTAAAAGTCCTTTATGCAATACACAGGCGATCATTTACCAGTGGCATGCACGTAATTCTTAAGTGATAAGTCACGTGTTCTACCAAGCATATCAGGCTCTGGCTACAACTGCTTTTTAGCAAGCGCAGTTATGCCGTGATGGAGCTGTACCGATCGCATAGCGAACCGATCGTCGCCAATACAAAAAAGCGTCAAAACCCGGCTCGGGAATACTCTCGAGTCCCCCGAAGATGATCAAGACAATCGCACGAAATTGTGCGTGAACTGCAAGCTGTAGCAAGCCGGTCTATTAACGCTGCTTTATTTCATGTAACAGTGCTGCTAACTGCCGAGCCTGCTGTGCATCTTTATAAAATGCGACTGATGTCTAGTAGCTAAGACCGTCACCGGCTCGCAACCTACATCAATTGCGGATCGAGAAGGCAACGGGTCTTCCTTCATCGTGCTCTCATGGGGCAGCTATCGACAGACAGATTACATCGAAAAAGTAAGCGTTAGATCGATGGCCCAGAAATCGCACAACATCTTGTCACTAAGAGATTTGGACGGTGACTGCCAAACGTAAGGTCTCATCAAGAAAGTTGCTAGCGTCTGTATAATCGATGTTATGGACATCAACACACGACCCTCCATCGAACACAAGTTAGCGTGATGCCATGCTTGTTTGTACGACATTGACACGCACGTTAGAGCACCAAACTCACACTTATTTCATACCAGCAAGATCACAGTTGAGCTTAACCTACAGCGTGGTATGTAACGTACAGGTGCCGTGCAGATACAGTTCTTGCATCGGGCCATGAGACGAACCAAAGGCTTATCCAGTCGAAACGGTTGTGACAAAGCTCCGGCCGCACGTTTTCTGCCATGTATTGACAATAGAGGCATGCATGCACAGCTGTAAGGTGTAATGCAGGTAGTTAGTTGTACGGCTGACTAGAAGACGGTGATCAATCGTTTGTATTGGTAGACAGGAGCCAAGAGATAGCTAGCTTTTGATGTCAACTAACGGTTACATTTACGACACTAACTTAACGTAACCAAAAGCAACCACATCGAAGAAGCGCAGTATGCCCTTACATTCAATAGATCAAAAGGGCACGGATGGTGCACCACTTCGTTTGCTTCCACTTTGCCACTTGTTTACGTTCTATTCCCACCGCGCGTGTAAATACAATGAATTGTCTTTTATTGATTGACTCGTCCATAGTGCGCAGCCGAAACCGGATCCCTCACATATTCGCTTATTTTTCGTACGGCTTCAGCTTGCAAGCAAGCAAAAAACTACGCATCGTTTCAGCGCAAGCTTGTCTTGCAAGCAGACATATTCGGCAGCTACATTATCGCACTTTTTTTACCTTAGCATTCGCATTTCTTCTACGCAAGCTCAGAGGTGTCACATCACGTAGAAGCAGGGCACAGCTCAACTCATGGGTGGTAGCAAGCCAGACAAGTAACACGAATCGATACGTCCTTTTGGCACTGTGCAAGTGTAGGGAAAAGTGTTCTAACTGTCAAACGAATGAGTTGTGATTCTGCGTGAAGCCATTCTCGTGTGATGCCATTGACATATACTTATAATGTAAGCTTTCAGCTTCGAGCGCTGACACGGCGACTGACGTGTTATGGCAGTGGCTCTGTCTTTTCCATTGATAAAAACCACACCTCATTGACGCTTATTACATCAACGGCAGCGTCCGCATTGTTGTAAAATCACATGAAAAACCAGGATAAGGGTACGGTATGCGCGTTCCAAGCTACAAGTCCGCTAATGTAGTTAAAATCGAACGCATGCTCATAAGTCTGGCCGCGGCTGCACTGCGACACCAAACATCTTTAAAAGTTAAACAATTGTCCTTGTGTCTACGGGTACGTACGCCTGCCGTGCAAACTCTAGTTTTCAGAATATCAGTATCTTCTTGGTACCTAGCACTGGCAAATGGAGCTGGCAACACGATATGGGTACCAAGTCAGCTATCACGGAGACGTGCAATATAAGATTATGTCAAGCTGTAAGGTCCGAGGAAAGTATAAAAAGCCATGGGGCACACTTCTTCTGCTAGCGCGCTAACGAAACGGGGAACTAAGGCTTGCGTAGCACTCCGTGTCACTATAATGTGAACGTATGCATAAAAGCAGGATATCTGTTTGTGTATCGTTACGACAGAAACTTGAGAAAGCTTAGCTCACACACTACGCACGTCAATCCATCCTTGCTCACCCGAGATCTGGATGAACATAAAACACTTTTAGTCTATTAGGTACATTAAGTACATTCAGTATTTCTAACGACCGTCGTCTGCCCTCTTCGGCGGGGCCTACCCATCCCTTACCGAATGGACACTATTTACTGGATAAGATGGGGGCCAGCCAGTTCAAGAAATCGACTATTCGATGCCAGGGGTATTGCTTCTACTACTAAAGGCGCGAGAGGGTAACCTCGTGAACATAAAAAAATAGACGCGTCATAACATACAAACTCGCTATTCGTTTCTGTGAAAACTGTGGTTCGGTGCAGTAAAGTCGATACCACGTTTAAGGATATGGAAACGTATCGATAGAAAGTCTAGCGAGCCAGGAGGCAGAAAATCTGAAGTCAATTTTGGATTGCTGCACGAGCCATTGTTATCGTAGCAAATTTCAGTTCAATTCTTGGAGTACCCGTATATATTTTTTCAAAGTTGAACACCGGCTAACAAACGTGAGTGCTTCACGTAGGATAGTTTGAATAATTACGTATGAGATTGAGCGCTAACATGTACTGACGTTGTAAATAGCGCAAAGGATTCTACTCAAAAGACCTATGCCGTGTGACTGTACTAAAATCAACAAATCGTCAGAATAGGACCTAATTGCAAAGAAGCTTAAGTAGTTTACGATTATAACAACAACAACCCATCGAAGATCGCGACTAAGAGCGCTATTAAAAGGTAATTGAGTGGGATTTCAATAACAACTTGGATACCTGTTTTAACGAGAGGTTCAACAAGATCTTCGACTAACGGTGGTATTTTTAAAGCACATCCAAAAAACCTTATTTATTACACAATTGAACTCCATTTTGTGTTGAAGATCATAATGTATACCCTTAAACCACCACGAAAAATCCAGCTCCGGATAATGGCGATCACCACCACCACTTCGCACTCGGGCTCGTCGTCAGCGACACCGTCACCCGATCTTTTCTCTCACCAAGCCCATGAATTCATCTAGGTGTGATGCAACGTTCTTTGCGGCAGCACTTGCAGTGTGTGTGACTTATGGATTCCAATCATGGTATCAGGGCGGCCTTGGGCAGCTGTAATTCATTTGGTATAATCAGCTTGACAGAGTACGTAATGCCGCTCTTGATTATAACGTCCGATGGTATACGATTACTAAGAATACAAATGAGGTGAAATTGGATCTCTACGTGCACACACAGCAAAATAATGGTATGCTTTAATCGAAAGCGAGCAATGCATGATGAAGGATATGGCAGGATGGTCATGACATGCTCGTCCTAGTTCCACAAAAGATATGTATTCGTGTTAAGTAGACGTAGCAGGCTTGACGGCAAACAAGATCTCTTACTTAAAGTTTTTACTACCGAGTCCCAACAGCGATATAAGCTGCAGAATGTCCACGCTTGTGACGAAACCATACGATAATATCCCACAATCGACTACATTAAGAAATCAATGACAGTCGTGAGCTAGCAAAAAGCTAGCCACATCGATTTTTGCATCAGTCATTAGTCGCTTTGATCATTGTTCTTGGTTTTACAAGTCTAAACAATCATAATTTTTTCCCCGCATTCAAGCATGCACTCCGAACGCGCAAAATTGCTGGTGAATCCGTATGTTGTTCTTACAGTGAATAGACTAAAGATCAATTTGTCATCAGTCACCTAGAATGCCTCCTTCAAATAAAGAGACACAGCATCTAGTCCTTTTAATTTGTTATTCCAATTAGGGTCTTTTGTGCACTACAGCCGGAAATACACTATACTAACCTTATGGAGCTTCCTGACATTAGAATAGTGTAATGGGGTAGCCCCTTACATGAAATTGACACCAAACGGTGTCAACAGGAATATTGTCTAGCGTGACAGTTCCCTACTGATATTACCCGAGATGGGTAATATTGAAGGAATATTATCCCCTTTAAGATTATTTTATGCGCTGCTCCAAGATTGGTTGATATAAGACATGTCAACCATAGATTGCCATCAATCGCAGCTAGACGCGCGCAATGAGTGGTGAGCAGGTTGTCGTCATACGACGGCGTAGTTTAAAATAGTTAAATAAAGATTAAAGTAATATTGATAGCTTAACTTTGTTAAATACAGTTCTCTTTTTACCTTTGCTCAGCTTAGTTGGTAAGTAGATATCTTCCACTGCACGTACTAGTGTACGTGAAGTTTCGTGGCACCCTAAACAAAGAGTTCCCCGTTACACCTGGTAGCACTTCTTAGTCCGTCTAAAGACTACTAAGTGTCCGTCCAACATGAACATGTTTGACGTAGAAGAATACAGCTTTCACATCACACGTGAAGGCTACTCCCATCTGAGTGACTCAGAATGGGAGGTAGTCGGCCGCATGAGTGTGCTCATGGACGAAACCGCCATCAGTGGTATGTTGGAGTCTTTAAGCAGAGACCATCAACATGCTGATATCAACAAGTTCCTACAAGGGGAACTTGCCGTCGAACGACAGAAGATAGCCTTGCTACAGAAGCAAGGCTCTCATCAGTCGATGGGCGGGCCGACGCACATGCGTCGACCCGAAACCTTGAAGATTGAGATCTCAAGGTACAAGGGAACCGACGAAGATTCCCGTTTAGGTGGTTCGTCGAGTCAGACGATGCCATCAGGGCCCGTCACATCGAGGGTGACGAGATGCAAGTCACCTTCGCTCTGTCAAATTTGACAGGAAGAGTAAAGAATTGGACCTTAGGGCTCAAGCTTCACGACCCAAACGTGTTTGAGTCGCTGGAGATCTTGAAGTCTCGGCCCAAAGAGACGTTTGAGCCGCCGAGAGCCGAGTTCAGAGCACGCTCTGCACTCTTGAGGCTAAAGCAAGGTAAGCGTGACGTGCCCGCTTACGCACAGCACCTGCGCTACCTTGCGAGTAGCGTTACGGAGAACCCTGTTGATGAACACACGCTCATCAACGTGTTCATTAACGGCCTTGTAGATGGGCCGGTGAAGACCTACATGTTCCAAGAGGACTTCCATACGATGGAAAAGGCAATAGCGTATGCGGAACAAGAAGACTTCAGCCGGAGACAGTCTCAGGCTAACTCGTCAAACTATCGTCCGACGAGGCGACAGGAAACAGGAGGTCCCGAACCAATGGACCTGTGATACATCGAGAGCAAGAACTCTCGATCTCTGCGTCATAAGCGAATGGAAAGATGCTATCGCTGTCAGAAGATTGGACACTACGCTCATGCGTGTAGTGTCCCAAGCACTGCAACACATCCATAGACCGGAAGTGATGACCGCCGTTGGCCGAGGAATATTCCGAGAAGCGGGTCCGACCATGTCGCTAAGCCGCGACAGCAAGTCGGACCGTCAAAAAACGGTCAGGGTCAGTAGGGGCGGAGCACCCTGCTGATCCAGCAACGTCAAGAGAATTTGTAGGACTCTTGACGAAGATTGCTCCCAACATGCAGTCTCTGTGTGTTACTGCCCTTAGTGATGAGGAGTTTCTCATCACTTTGAAAATCGAAGTGACAAGTGGAATGTCACTTCGCGCTCTAGTTGACTGTGGGGCGTCGAACAGTTTTATTCGATGCCAGTCACTAGGGGATAGTAGTCTCAACCATTTTGAGCGAGAGTTCCCTCCAACGAGGATGACGGTATGCCTTGCTACAGGCGCATCCTTAGCAGTGAACAAACGTGTAGTGGGAACCCACTACACGTTAGAAGGAAAGCCGTACAATGATGACTTTATCGTATCATATTTGGATGACAAATTTGATGTCATCCTCGGTCTGCCATGGCTTAGAAAAATACCAGCCATGGGTTAGCTGGCAGCATCGATCCGTGAAGATGACTGCCGGGTTTGTTCATCGTACGGTCATCTGATAAACGTCTTGGTGCGTCCACAAGCGTGTGGATGTACTAGGAGTGAGTGCGATAGCCCCACTTGTGGTCTTAAGTATGACTACAAAAGATCACAGTGTGGAAGACTACTACACTGGAACCAGCTTCCGGCATCTGTGCAGAGACACAGGCTGCGCCGAAGGTTCAAGTCTAGAAGAGATCGAGTGGACTGGAACACGGATGCACATTAAAAGGGTGCATCCAAGAAGAGAGATCAGTTTTGTTCAGGATGAACAACACGTCAATGCGAGATCGACTGACAGAGATTCTATCGTAAAGCTAACACAATCGACTGAAAGAGAGTCGATCGAAGGGGACGTGACTGTGGTTCTGCATCCACAGTCAGTACACGTATAGAAAGAAAGTTCCAGCTTTCCTGAGAGTGATAACTCCCGTGAGAGTTATGCTGAGGGTGTGGATCACCTACCACCTGCGGATGTGTTTTCTAAGGAAAGCGCCAAGACAGTGAATGTCTTGGTGAATGAAGGATCAAGTGTAGACGCTTATACACTTGATCTGGTTACACCTCCGAAGTCGAATTCGGAGGTAATCAAGTTGCCAACGCTGAAATATAAGCAATTCTTGCAAGTTTTGCGCAGTGACAAGATCAAGAAGATCTGCGTACTTTTCATAGAGGACGAGTACGTCGCCGATGTTCGGTCGGCACAAGTGTTTACGGAAAACGAACGGGTTCTTAGAAGCCCATTGCCGGAAGAGAGTGTCCTAGAGGTAAAGATCCGAATTGGGCTATGCACGTCTTAATCTTGGGAGTCTTGGAAGACATATCCTTTGTACAAGGATTTGGTGGAATTCAGGGATTTTTTCCTGGAACCCGTGCCATGCGAGCTGCCTGAGGACAAAGGCGCCCGGCATGAGATCGAACTGAACCCGGTTCGAAGTGCTGTTTCATGAAGCAGTGGCCACTTCCTCGTGAACAGGCCACAGCGATCAACAATACTTTGCCGATCGCTTAGCGTCCGGTCATGTCAGATAATCAACATCCTCACACAGCTCTCCGACCTTTTGTGTGCAAAAGGCCGCAGGAGGGTGGCAGATAGTACACGCGTTCAGCAAATTGAACGCTGCAACGATACCGTCTCGGACGCCGATTTCGAGGAAGAACGTGATCATAGATGGTATGGCAAAATTACCATATTTTCGGCCATGGATCTGATGGATGGATTCTATCAGATCCTCATGTGTGAGCGGGACGTCCCGCACACAGCAGTGGGCACCCCTAGTAGTCTGCTGTGGTAGTGGCTAGTGATGCCACAGGGGCTAAGTAACGCCACTGAAACGTTCAACAGATGTGTTACTAACCTGTTGCGATCGGTGCGCGATTTCGCACAGAGTTACTTCGACGATATCTTCGTCCATAGCCGGGCTATGGATGGGAAGACGGAAGTGGAGGTTCATAGAATCCACGTCTGGAAGGCTCTTACTCTAATGCGAGAGCATAAGTTGTTCGGGAACCTCAAGAAGTGTATATTCGCAGCGAACGAAATACCACTTCTTGGCTGCATCGTGGGTAAAAACGGTGTACGCCCTGACCTGGAAAAGATCAAGGCGATTAGCGACTGGCCTGTGCCAGTCGACGTCAAAGGGACTTCGAAAGTTTCTTGGCTTGGAGGCGTACTTGCACAAATACTCGAGCAACTATGCCGAGATATCCGGACATCTCTCTCGTCTATTCAGAAAAAACAAGAGGTGGTCATGGAGTGCTGAGTGTCAGCACTCATTCGAAGGTATCAAGAAAAGCTTGGTGCATCGCGTATGTTGGCAATTGCAAACCAGGGCAGACCACTTCATGTGGTCTGTGACGCCAGCGATTTTGCAATCGGCTGCGCGTAAATGCAGTACGACTCAGACGGCGCTGAGCGCGTCGTCTGTTATCAATCGCGTCAGCTGCAAGCATCTGAGCGAAAGTATCCGGTGCATGACAAGAAACTCCTTGCCATGAAATATGCACTGGCCAAGTTTCGGGTATATCTCCTAGGAGATAGGCCCTTCATCGTTTATACCGACCATGCGTCGTTACGCACGGCCGTAAACAGTCCACACCTCTCGCAACGAATGGCGAGGTGGCTGTCTTTCTTCGCGGAGTACAACTTCTCCGTCGATTATAAACCAAAGCGACTTAATGTCGTCGCTGATGCTCTCTCGTGTCGGCTCGATTTCGAGCCGACTGCTCAACCCAACAGTAGGGGTGATCCCACTGTAGCGACACTAACAGTGAGTGTTCCGTCGTCAAATCTGCTCGATGATGTGCGAAAAGCAAATGCAGAAGATGAGTCTCTTCTACGATTGATGGATTACGTATCCTATCCGTGTAATCAAGCTTTGAAAAGCTTGTAGTCTCAATACCGCTCTTCAACAGAACGGTATTCAGTTCGTGATGGGCTGCTGTACTACACAGCAGTCAACGGCGACACGCCTCGTGTCGCCATTCCCGCTCATGACCATTTTCGATTGTACATCATGCACGAGTTTCACGATGCCCCGACAAGTGGGCATCGCGGTAGAGAAAAGATTTACCTCATGGTGAGTCGTGACTTCTACTGGCTCCGCAAGTATGAGTTTGTGCAGAAATACATTTGCGCTTGCGAAGTTTGTCAGCGGGTGAAGCCTAAAACTTCATCCCGCGCACCCTTGCAGCCTCTTCCGATTCCGGCAGATTGTTGGCGGTCCGTATCGGTGGACTTCGTCTTTGGATCTTCTAAAGACGTTCACAAGAATACTGGTGTTCTGGTCTTTGTTGATCGGTTCAGCAAGATGGTACATCTTGTTGCTGTACCGGAGTCAATTACATCCCAGGGCTATGCTCGTGGCTTCATAGATACTATCTTCCGACTTCACGGGTTACCCCGTGAGCTCGTGTCCGATAGAGACCACGATACACGGCGGAGTTCTGGAAATCCGTGTTCCGTTCACTTGAAACACGATTGAAGATGTCGACTTCTGACCATCCAGAAACAGATGGTCAGACGGAACGCGTTAAGTGCATCCTCGAAGAGATACTTCGAGGGTACGTCCACTCGTTTACGAGATGGAGTGAGTTCTTGCAGATGGCGGAATTCGCCATCAACAACTCGGTGCACGCGTCGACAAAGCACATACCGTTCTTCGTGAATGACCTACGCCATCCACGTTTACCCGCCTTCTTAGTGTGTGACTCTAGTTTAAGGGGGGGGTAGACTTGCTCGAACAAAATCCGATCTGGTTCTAGCTCATCACCCGTCAACAATGGTGTCGAGATGATGGATGCCGATGCCGTTGTCGATGCGATCGATATCGATGATTACGATGACGGCGATGCTGGTATATTCAGCATCATCAATGACTGCCACAGTGAGGACGATGACACCCTCACTGGAGAAGACAAAGTTCTTTCAGCAGTGCACACGAAGCGCACTGCTGTTGACAAGGATTAATCAGCAGAGGAATTCTGCTGACTCGCGAAGCGGTTGTCCGCTTCGTTCAAGACTCTATTGCAGACGCATTTGAAAACCGGAAAGAAACGTAGACAAACATGGAAGATCAAATGTTCTTTCATTTGATGAAGGAGACCTAGTTTTACTGCATACAGTAAACTTACCGCAGCACGTAGTGACAAACGTGGGCAGCAGTAAATTACTGCCCAGTTACATCGGTCCATTTCGTGTGTTGCGCCGAATGGGCACCGCATAAACGATTGAACTGCCCCGTAAGATGCGTACGCATCCTACGTTTTACGTCGGTCGTCTTCGCCCGTACTATCAGTATGAGCCCGTTTCGAGAGGCGAAGAACACCTCCGCGGTCGAGAGCCAAGGCCACCTTCGCGTGGTCCCGTTTCAACGAGCCAGCCGGGTCGACTAGCGAAGCGACCTGTTCACGCAGTTCAGCGATGACTCGACGGGATGCAGCCCGCTCGTCACGAAGAGAACGAGTCGAACGTTCGCTCTTAAGTTGCGCGAACGCAAAAAGCGGCACGATCGTTCGAACGATCGTGCGTTAGGGAATTGTAATTATCTCTTACAAGATCCTCAAGCCCATAACGCCGAGTCCGTTCATGAGCCAGGTCATCTCGCAACTGTTCCGTTACACGGTTCAGCTCCAATACATCAAGCTGATCCGACCCTCAATCCGGATCAGGTGTTCCCACCGCCACAACATCCTTTGGTGGACTCAAGCGGTGGTCAACGCTTCCTAGTGGAGCGTATTTTGAACCAGCGCGTCGTGAATGGCGTCCGGACAAGTTACCTCGTTCGCTGGCGTGGCTATCCACCGGCCTGGGACAGCTGGGAGTCTCGTGCCCAGCTGATTGTTGATGTCCTTGGTCTCGTCAAGCAATATGACGAGACCCATCCGCTGCGTTTGAAGAAGGGCCGTCGGAAAACGACCTTCGTGAACGCGAGTACAGGGATTGCAAGGTTTCAATCCCTTGGCCATCTCGGAAGAGATGCACGCCCTCCAGTAGGGATCATTAGGGAGGGAGGCCTCCGTAGGGGCACGTTTCGAGTTGTCCAGGACACCTGGACAAGAATCATCCCACGAGAGACAGAGTAATCCTGCCTATCTTGAAAGCCGGTGCAACTTGTGTCGCGCCCCGACTGGGTTGCCTTTCTCAAACCTGATGCGAGCTGTATTGAGTTTGGCGAGCCAGGCCTCACGGTCAATGCACTCGATGTTGTGGATAAGGGCATTCCGTCCCTTCACATAGGCTTTGCCGTCCCTAACACGGCTACCATTGTACCACCGATGTTTGAAGAGCGCATAGGTGAAGAACTATTCCTCAGCACGGATAGTTTTCGTGCCGGAATCAGGTGGGCAAATCGTCCTGCAATCGATCAACGGGATTCGATCCCGTTCGGTAGTCGTGCCGGCCAACCGGTCCAACTCTCTGGATTGCGGCATCCACGGAGACTCCACTTGGGGAGCGTGGCGCAGGACATTTCGGTCCCTGGCCTCTTGATTGGTGGCAGCATGAGCATTGGATTCAGTGTTACCCCGATCCCTTTAATTACTTCGCCCCTGGTGATGTGTAGGCGCATAACCACCATCTCCTTGCGCCCTATCGTTAGACGGAATTGTGTGAGGTGACGATTCATTGGAATAATCACTCGATCCGAAAATCTCGGACATGATACCGCCGCGTTAATCAGAGACAGTCAACCTGGCTCTTGCAGTGTCCGCTCCGGGTGATCCGGAGGCGTGAGGAGTCGCCTTCGAGTCGGATGCATCACCCGGCTCGCCAGAATAGATGAGCCCTATCTCAGACTCGTCTTAATTATGACCCGAGGTACCCGCTGCAGACGCAACGGATGAACCTGTCGCACGTGGTGACTCACCACGTGGAGTGTTCACGACAACAGTCGACGAACTGCCTCTTGCTGAGATGTGAGAAGCACTTTCCGCGGCCGCACGCATGCGTGCACCCGCTCTTCTTTTAGCTGCAGTAGAAGCTCGCGTGGTTTTGAAAACCACGCGTTGGATTGGCAAATGAATGGAATTTGACCAACAAGTGCTCCCTTTCTCAGCGAGAACCAAGGGTGTTCATCCAGTCCCAATCAATTCTGATTTAATCAATGGGTGACTGATGGTTGAGGGTGGAAGAGTGATGTAACGGGGTAGCCCGTTACATGAAATTGACACCAAATGGTGTCAATTGGAATATTTTCTAGCATGACAATGTTCTACCAATATTATCCGAGATGGATAATATTGAAGGAATATTATCCCCTTTTAGATTATTTTATGCGCTGCTCCAAGATTGGTTGATATAAGACATATCAACCATAGATTGCCACCTATCGCAGCTAGACGCGCGCAATGAGTGGTGAGCAGGTTGTCGTCATACGATGGCGTAGTTTAAAATAGTTAAATAAAGATTAAAGTAATATTGATAGCTTAACTTTGTTAAACACAGTTCTCTTTTTAACTTTACTTGACCGAGTCGTTCGAGTAGAATAGCTTACTCTGCAGTGTACGTGGAGCTTCGCGGCGCCCCAAATAAAGGGTGTCCCGTTACGTATCGCTTCAAAGCCAGAGGTCATATCTTGGAACTGGTCAAGCACGCTTTAAGTAGCGATATCACTTTATTGCTCAATTATTAACAGAAATTTATAGTACCTAGGGGAGACACTTTGACATAAACTAAGATTCAATCAGAATTTCTATCAGAATTTCAATCAGAAAAACAACGAGAGGTTCAACAAAATTTCATCTACCCTTTCAGACACTCATCAATGCTCTGACGCGTTGCCGTTACGGCAATTCGGTTCTGGCAAATCAGGTTGACGCACGCCAAGCGCAATGCCGGTTATATCGTATCATGTACTGAAGGTCTAGCATTTATACCCTTACTACATTTCGGGGTAATGATTTAGACTCGTAGTGTACGGAGTTACACGACAGTTACCACCACGAAGGGACATACCTTGCATATGTGAAATACAATCCCAACTTTATCTTTGACAACTGATGTGGTTGATAACATCAGTCATTTATTGAAGACAGATCGATGTGCCACCCCTCAATTTATAACAGACTGAAAAATACTATATACGTTAGCTTGACCTTAGTTTTAGGTAATTGAACGAGGTTTATTACTGATAAACTAAAATTCAGTTCCTCTTTTTATCTTCGATTGACACGTTTCAATTTTTAGATGTCAGTAGATCGTTACGAGTGATGCTTATACCTTATAGCACATTGTACGCACGATTCTTGAAGTCTTTGTTAGTTCCCTGAACCATGACTAGAAGCTCTACGAGCTTAAAGGCTCTCCGAGTCCTTTTTGATTAGTTCTAAGAAGTGAAGACTCCTTGAGTCCTTGTTCATCAGTTCTAAGAACTGATGACTCATTAAATTAATTGAAACTTATTTCCGCAACACCATGATGCCTTTAGAGTCGTAAAAATTCTTCCTCTGATTAGAAGCTGTGTAGCTCCGCTACATTTGGTAGCACATGTAGTCAATCCTACACCGTAGTCACAAATCGACTAAGGTTCTGTTAAGATAAAAAGACTAGCTTATCTTTCTCAGGCTCAAATCCTCGCACCTTCCAAGCTTAAAGCGTCGATTGGTGTCAAACAAGTCGACCATGTTAATTCTTAAGGCCTGGAAGTTTTCAATGCACGGCTAGAAGCTATTTAAAATTTGGGTCCACACTGATTAGGCAGGTCCATGATCATTTAAGGTCGCCAATGCCGACTCTTTTATTTTTTCCGCGATGCAGAGCCTTAGGATTGCCGCTTCTCTAAGCGTAAATATATTTGAGGAGAAGAAGAGAGAATTACTACCTTTATGGATTCGAGGAGTCAAAATGGCGATGAGCGCCACTATGATGTGAACCGATCAGCAGTAAGTTGGCCTAGCCATTTCAAATTTGGTGGTAAATCCAGGGAATGGATTTTGACGTGTAATGCGTCCTTAATCACCCCATTTTACGCGTGAAGTTCGCTTAAGGGACATATGAGACAAATAAGACATATGCGTCGCGTGTTTGCACCGCCTAATCAAGCTTATTGAGTGCGATCACGCTTCTTATTCTTCCGATAAGAAGCTTGATTGCACTTTGTGAGCTTAAAATATTTATAATACTGTGTACAAGCGTTGAGCGCTCTTCTTGCTGCTATGCAATTGGATCTCATTCGGCAGGAAGTCTGTGCATCAATTTTATAACTGGGGTGGCTTGTACCAAAATCTCTGTGTCCTTCCCTTATCTTTGAGGAGACAGTGTACATAGCGCAAAACACATAATTTAATTTCAAAGCGGCTCGCTATGATATGCATGGGCACGCCTAATGTATTTTGATAGGGGAAAGCCCACGGATCTTATTCATGTGGACGATGACGAATAAAAGGCTGTGACAAAGGAATTGTATCATCCATTGATGCTACATGTGCGAAAGCACAAGGCACCTCCTCCCCAACTGTCCCTTGCGTAAATTGCGATACAATCGGCCGATGCCGTAATTCCGCTTTAATCCATAAACCTGGTACGGTGCGGAAAAACATCAACTTCCAGAAGGCTCAGGCGCCCTAACATGAAAGAAATTGGCATTTTAGAGGCTCTAGGAGGTAAATAAAATTGGGGATTATCCCCACACGATGTAGTGGACGTTGACACGGAACGTGGATACAAGTCAGGATTGTTGGCTTACTTGACAACGGTTTAAAGCTTTGAAGAGCTGTGGTCTTTCTTATTGACTCTGAGGTGTCAGGTAATTACGTCCGACGCCGATCCCTTAATGGAAGTCAGCAGTATGCTGAAGCGCTGAAAGTACATGAACTTGACGTAATCATGGTGCGTATAGCTACGGGGGCCATTGTTCCTGTTCCTAAAGATCCGTTGAACATAAGTGTAAAGTTTTCAGAATCTAAAATCAGTAAACGCTGTCTTGCCCGGATTTTGAATCGAGCTATGAGCTCATTCTCGGTACGGTCTCT